TTAATAAATTTTTGTTGATTGATGAAAAGTTAATTAAAATTTTTGGCAAAAATATTTCAAAAACATTTAATTATAATGTTGTTGTTGATTAACCACATGTTGAACGACGTCGTGGAACGATCTCTTTCAGCGCAGTGTAGGTGTTACCTGAAACGGTTTCAAGTGGGCTGAAGTGGGGTCTGAATCCAAAATTTTCAGTAAAACTTTAGTATCGACCGATCGGCCGCCGTGTGAGTTGCAAAAATTTGTAAAATTAGAGCTGTTTCAGAATGATTCTCTCCAGGTCTAATACTCTAGACCATTTCAATCCTGAACAAGAATCCCCTATATTGTGGGTAAGCCCTTAAACGATCGTGATTTTTATTAAACATATTACAATATCACTTAAATCAAAAAAAAAATGTCGAAAAAGGAAAATTACATAATAATCATTAAATCTATACGATGAAGATGTCTTGTTTGTTATGATTTTGGTTGAAAATAACTTTCTTTTAGCATTTTAAAGACAAACAAAGCTTTTTTAATGGAGATGTTTTAAATCCAAAAATACATTTTTATTTCTCAATCTAAAAATACTTATAAATCCGCGTTTACGTTTCATTCCTCGAAATAGAACCGAGTAAACGTCCGTTTTCCGTCCAAATCGACGCGTCGTCACAATGTTATCCCAAAAATAATGCCTTATTAACCCCGAAAACATCAAAAAATGTGCGTTGATGCCCATTTTCCCAAAAAATAAATTTAACGTTTTTGAAAGTTATCCAAATTTGAGGATTTAATGTTTTTTTAATTAGATAAAAGTAATGTTTAATGTTAAGACTCATTCATATAATATTATATATATTTTTTAACTTTTGGAGTGTAACCAAATTCTTAAATGTCTTCGGTATGGATTTACGAAAATAAATCGGCAGATTTGACGCAAACAACTTGAACCTAACCTAAATTCCATTTTAAAAACTCGGTCAAAAGGAAAATATAAATTAAATACGAGGGAGGAGAGCTAAAATAAGCATCTTTTTCATTTATCAATTATTAATAAATCTTAATTTTAAACCTAACGTAAAAAAAAATTAAAAGTATTAAATTAAAGTAAATTAGCAAAAACTTTGTCGTTTGGAGTGTAACTCAACACCGCGCAACGCTATAAACATTTCTTCGTATGAATTTAAGAAAATAAATCGATATATTTCAAACAACTTGAACCTAACCTAAATTCCTTGTCAAAAATTCGGCCAAAACTTCAAATTGAAAATATGTATTATAAATACTAGGAAGAAATGGTTAATATAAACTTTAATATAATGTGTATATTGTAATATTTATGGTATTCTAAAATTATTCAAAATTAATTTTTTTTTGTTGGTGAAAAATGTACATAGGAATTTTAGTTTTGAAAGGTTGTCAAAGTTTGAAGTAAACCTAAACAATTAAGAAAATCGTTACACGATGTATTTGAAATTTTATTTTTGGTGTTTTCAAAATTTTTTGCACACCCCGTTGTAAAATTACTGAAATACCAAAGTAAGTAAATTCGTTTAAGTAACAATGATTTTACTTTTATAAACACAAAAAATTAAAACTTGTATTGGTAGCCACCTGGTGTCGTATGTACCAATTAGCTTTGTTTTTTCTTTCTTGTCAATGTCAATTGATGTGAATGGTTGAGGTTATGAAGATTTTAATAATTATACCGTTTTATTATTATTGATGTATGATTTAATTTAATAACAATAATTTTAAGACTATAAAATGTTTTTCGTGGAAAAAAATGTGAGCCAAAAACGTAAAAATTTACGACACATAACATTAAGGGTGATATTTAAAGAAACCAGTTATAAAGCCAAAAGTAACAATTTGAGTAAAGCATTAAATTAGAACGTACCAATAAACTTATCTGGAGCATTTAAACATAAGGAATTTGCTTATTTATATATTTTGTTTTGTGATTTCTCTCAATTTTAAAGAACATTAAAGTTTTTGTTAAACAAGTTTTCATTCTATACAGTCCCTGATATGTATGGAAATGATCGATACTTCTCAAAGTAAGGTAGTTAGCTAAAAATGGTTCATATAAAAGCTTTAAAGTTTTTTAATCTATTACAGTAAAGAGTAGGGGTATACAGGGTCAATCAAAAGTAGTGGGGTTACAACGTTACTTTTTTTAGTGATATGATATAACACAATATTTAAGTATTTATCCATATAAACTACCTGTATACTGTTTGTTCGTCTTATACACTATACTCTTCCAGAAAAAAGGGTTGGACATCTTGTTATTTGTTTTAACGCACATTTCTTTAGATAAATTTGAAATATACAGGTGTCCCAAAAGTGAGATACAATACCTAACTTAACATTTTTAAATAGGAACCCCCATTTTTTTGTTGCATTTATGGATTTTATATGTAACACATCCTATGTCCATAATCAGCTGTCTTTGACAAAAATGGTTGTTAAAAAATACTAGTATTATTTTATTTCAGGTAAACGATAACATGGTTTTATCTTAACATTGTCTACTTAATTAAATGCTGAAACTGAAACCCTTCTTATGCTTGGTAGTATCTCAAACCATTGCTAAATTCATGCTAGACTCTAATAATTGTTTCTTTGCTTAGTTGGCAAGCGACTCAAGTTTAGTTTTGTAGATCCGAGGATCGTAATGGCCATTCAATTGATCCACGCCTTCCGGTCCGTCTGTTACAAAATGCCACTTCATCGGATTATTGCCTAACCTGAACTGCAGAATGTGGTGATGCACCATCTTGCATGAACCATACATTTTCGTCATGTAGCATCAAGTCATTAGCACTGGTCAATTAATTTGGCCGCCAATTATTGTCAAATTGATTCCTTACTTTATGTATACAGTGTATATCTTGAAACGTATATTTTTATCACGGTTTATTAAACCTTGTATTGTCCTAATCAAGAAAATAGTTTTTAAGTTTATCCTAATTGCGGCATCAATGACATTACAAAGGAACCTTTTAACTCCAACTTCACAACAGCTTATACCTTGTTTGATATTACAGACAGTTTTTCCATTAACTTTTTACATGTGCCATTTAAAATATTAAATAGTAAGCTTTATTTCATTCCTATACAAAGAAAAGGTGAAGATATTTCGATGAGGTTTCAAATGAGATAATACTTGCGACAAAATTTATTCACTTTGCGCATTTTACAAACTCATTTGTTTCATGCTCTGTTTTCTGTTAAAACTCTCTTGGTACAGTTTTTCCATTGCAGGTCATGTTTATGCAGAAAATGAAACTTGACACTAATGTTGCAAAAGTTAAAAAAACCAACAGCATTTTAGGAAGCTAAACTTAACATAATATAATATAACATAATAAGTGTTATGTTACTTTCTGTTGTTAAAAAGGTTTTGTGTAACTCCCACGAAAGATAGCTATGTAGTTTCTTTCTTGCTTTTATTTTCATGACAATGTCTTTGTTATGCACCAAGATACCAAGATTTGTGATCTTTTCTCGATTGACGATTTCAATATCATAAGAACTTTGTAAAGCTTTTCTCCTGTATAATCTGCATAAATGATCTTATTATGTTTATGATTTTTGAAATAACTATTTTTATATCATTACGATCTCCATAAGCAGAACACCTTTCAGACTTAGCTTGGGCTATTTAGAAACAATCATCACTTGTTACGAGAGAAGTGATTGCCAGAAAAGATCTTGTAACCTGAAAATGCTTTGTCTTCTGTAACGAAAATCAGAATGTAGGAACTGTGGCTCTGTGTGATTTTTTGCAAGTAGTCTTTAGGTTAACACTTCAAATCCTTCCTTAGAGAGTCTTAAATCACGTAATGTTACTCAATTGTAGTAAACATACTTTCTGAGGGGTTCTTCACTGTTTAATATCAACTCCTCAAATGTTGGAATGCATGATTAGGAACATCGAAATCAAAATTTTAGTGGTGTGCTCGATCTTTTCATTATCTTTATTATCAGCTTTGGAAAGCCGATTAAAAGCTGGGAGTGTTTTGCAGAATGAGGGGTTTTGCAGCTTTTCACAAAACCATGAAAATTGCAAAAGTCAAACTCCTACATTTTTCTTGCGTCCAACTTTCAATTTCATACCAACTGGCACATCAAATTGTGATAAATTGTTGTATAACTAGTTATAATCATGATCAACACTCATAGTATTTGGAAAAAAAATATTACACAATTTTTCCGAATGAATCTTTTTAACATGCTTTACAAGTATTGTTATATTGCATGGAAACTCGTCTCGTTATCATTGCCAACTGTAACCCTAGATTCGATTTTTGGGCATATCTTTGGCATCAATTGACGTTGTGGCGTCAAGATTTGCAAGATGAAGACTATTCATCTACGCACGCTCAATAGAATTTCTCAATACCCAAAGAATCTTCCCACCAACTAACTTTGTGGTCTACTTAAACATAGTATATTAATTTAAAATTGCAGTTAAAGCAGAGTATGTAACGAATAGTGAAGTGTTATTAACGGGCGATGAGTCTTAAAAATCTAAATTTAGGAATGGAATCAACTTACAAATAAAACACCACATTCGAGATTTCGGCTAGTCTGAAAGGGTTAGTTCCAAAATACCTTGCTTTGACCAAAAATTACCGGAGCAAATAGGGAAAAGTGTAATTATTATTGTGAACATTGTAGTGTGGATACGCCAGGTGCAAAAAAATGATTCATGATTCAAATTAATGATTATATAAAGTGATGAATCGCCCCCATTAAAAAATTGTTCTGGCTCGTGTTCACTAAAATTTCAAAGTGGATATAATTATAACTTTTCTCACCTGTATTAGAGACACTTTAACGGAAATACTTATGCATTAAAACTTTGCATATTCAAAATTGTATGTTAAATACATATTAGAGAAAGAATAATAATTTTTATTGATATTCATATTTTTTAACATTTCTTTGTATGTTTTTTTAACCTAACCTAATCATATGTTTTTGTTTATCCAAATATGTTTTAGCCTTACCGTACAACTCCGTTAGTTTTGCCTGGTGCAAAAGCGAAAAGAGATGCTGGACATACGGAAAGTTATCTACGTCATCATCCCAACCCAGCTGTGCGAAATCCACCATCTCACATTGTTGATGTTGATCATGTGTTGAAGTCTAAGGTACCTTCTTATATATGTTTTCCTTTTGTCTCATAATCATAACTCATAATAACATCATGGATCAATGTTTAGTTTTAATTTCGACGTTATCTTTGAGGATTTCTTTCTTAACAGGTGGCGAATACGGTCCTCAACAGAATACAAGTAGCCGATCCTAATATACAGGTTAATTGGGGGTGATTTTCGCGTGCGATCCCATTTTTTTATGTTCCTAAATTAAAAATCGGGCCTAGACGATGGCGCGATTTTCAAAAAATCGGTACCCCGACCAGTGCATGTTGTCGAAATGTTTTTTCTCGAAAATCCGTTGCGAAACGGATCCGTTATATTTAGACGGCAGCAGTCGTGTGCCAAACTACAGCACGACTATTTTGTTGACCTTGTTGTCCGGTTTTTGCAAAAAGTTATAAAACAAATAATTTGTATTTTCTAAAATTAACAAGTGTGATCAAAGAATAGTAACATTTCTTTTCAGTATAAAATAAAAAGTTTTTTTGATCACAATTTCTTTTAATAATAACAAATTTAAGAAATTATATATTTAATGTATGTTTTTTTTGATTCTTTTTTGATGTGTTTGTTTCCATCCACACGAAAATAATAATTAACGTTCAAAAATAAGCTGTAAAAAGAGACAGCAAGATAGTGTTGGAAAGTCTAATTAATTAACTTGCCTGTAAAATTTTTTCATTATGTTTTTAAGTTGATTGAATTAATTAAACTAAATTATTATTTTTTCATCGCAGGTTGTCCATAAACAATTTAATTCTCCGATTAATATGTATAGCGATGCAAATATTGCGGACACTTTAGCTAAACAGGGAGTAAAGTAAGTATTCATATTACATATTTAATAAAAACAAGTCAAAAATATTAATAATTTTTAATTAATTGATGTAGGGTACGTAAACCTGTAAAATACAATCCAGCTGAAAGTGAGACATACAGAGCTGTTCAAGAAGAACAATTAGGTGATAACGTTCAAGAAGTTTTAATACCACCACAACCAAAAGTTTTTACACCTCATAAACCAGCACAAGTAAAGGTAATAAAAATAATACTTTTATAAATACAGTTAAACAACACTATTTAATACTATTAATAGTATATAGATACAATCCAACAAGGATTATTTCCCAAGTTGCTCTATTTCATGTTCATAGATAAACTCGAGGTATTCCTCGATTTTTGCTTTTAATGATATAGGCAACCAAAGTAACATCTCTCTAACACTAAGCCATAACCTCACTTTTTAAAACTGTCAATTTCTAAAGTAAATAATAATATTTATAGCTATTATTAAGCATTATTATTAAAGTCAAAGATGAGTTGAGAGGAAAAAAGAAGAATTCTATGAAAAAGTAAAGCAAGTTATCGCCAATGCCGTAGGAACGACGTGAAAATAGTGCTGGAAGATATGAATGCGAAAGTGAATATATATAGACCCAACATAGGACCAAAATAAATAGTGTACACCTAGAGTTGTAAACTTTGCCTCATTCATGAACATGACTATCGCCAGCACCTAGTTCTTGCATAAAAGCTTACACAAAACCTCACAAAGACCTCGCCAGACGGACAAACTACAAATCAGATTGATCATATTTTGATAGATTCAAGATATGGATCCAATGTACTTGACTGCAGAAGCTATAGAGGAGCGGATATTGATTCTGGTCATTATCTGGTGGCAAGAACCAAACCATTAGAGCTCGAATATCTAATGCAAAAAAAGAAAAAGCGGGGGCGAAAGTAATAAGGTATAACGTAAAACCCAGAAACATCAGAAGCATTCATAGCTATGGGAGTTGATACTGCCTGTACACTCTTAAAGAGAACACTTGCTGAAACGGCAGAAGAGGTGCTGGGACAAAGGAAGGACGAAACGATTGGTTCGACAAAGAATGTAAGAGAGCAATGGAGGAGAAAAACAGAGCCTACTTGAAGTACTTAGAAGAAGAGTTAGAGCTACCATTGAAGAATATAAAAATCGAAGAAGAAAACATAAAACAATAGAGTGTTCGAAGAGATAGAAGCCCTCAACAGGGGACGAGAGTGCAGAATGTTTTATAAAAGGATCAACATGAAAAGAAATCCTTTTAACCCATAAATGGAACAGATGAAGGACGCTGATGGAGCACTGATTACTGAGAACAGTGAGATAGTGAGAAGATACACTAGGAAGATATAACAGAAATACGCGCAGCCAAATACAAATCAAGGCACTCACCCGCCGTCAGTTGAAGAAGTGGAAGAGGTCCTCTAATTACTGGCAAATAATAAATCGCCGGGATCTGACGGTATGCTATCAGAACTTCTTAAACACAGCGGCCAGACGTTCACATCACACTTCCACGAACTGTTGATACAAATATGGCAGGAACACATGATGCCAGTAGATTGGAATACCGGAATTATATGCCTGGTACACAAGAAGGGAGATGCATATGATTGCGCTAACTATACATAAAGCAATATTTTTGTTAAAAACACCATACAAGATCCTGTCGGTAATACTTAAAAAACGACGAATTGAATCTCTCTGATAGAGATGGTCAAACTAACCATGGAAAATATGGAATGTGTAATCAAAGCCATAACTGTCGAAACCTTAAGGGGTGTCTTTCATATTACTTTTTGTTCAAAACCTCTTCTCTTCCAAGTTATAGCCCTCTAAATATAGGTTATATACCTAAGTTATAGCTATAGATCCAGAGAAGAACAGGAAGAAGATAAGTTACGAAGTTATAATTGATTTGAAAGTTTTAAATTCCTAAAATTATCAGATATTTGTAAATAACAACATAAGTTCATTTTTTATTAATACTGTAAAATCTTAATAAGACTTAACGGCAAAGAATAGATGTACTTGATCAACTTTCTCAAACACTTTCCCAAATGCTGGCAAAATAGATATGGGGCGATAGTCAGATATAACAACACGGCCCAAGATTTTAAAATGGGAAGAATAAAAGCCCGCTTTCACAAGGAAGGAAAAACACCCATTACTAATGAAATGTTAAATAAAATAGTTAAAGGAAGGGACAGAGAATGATTAAAATGGATGGAATACAATGAGTACCAATACTGTCAGTAACCCTGATGCCCATCAGGGTCTCGTCAACCTCAATCCTATCAAACTGCATCTGACTCAAAGTCCACACAATCCACATTCTTCTGGATTGAAAAAGACAACAGTTCTATTTCATGACATCGTAGAAGGAATGACATCCTCACGGTTCTTAGACTTAGTAAAAGCCCAAAACACCTTTGGGTCAGATTGGATATTGCTTTTAGCTCTTCTAACATACTCCATGTAATTAAGATGGATTAGATACTTTGCACGATTCCTTAGAATTGAAAAAGTGAAGTAGTCAAATAGGTTGCCAAAACGCTTCCATTTACAGTGCGCCCTCCTTTTCTGTCGAATGACTTTAATGGTACTAAGTGAAAACCAAATAGGAAAACCCTTGGTAGCGTTTTAAAAGGACAAGTTCACGTATAATAGCAGCCCTTCCAATGATTAGTGGGACTCTGGAGAAAATAAAAAAACTGTCAATGCGGTGTAATGTCCTCTGATTATCGGTGCCTTATTGGTATGAAGAAAAGGATCTGAACAATCGAATTTATCCTTTAAATTTTTAACTTTGTGAATGCGCTAAAAAATAACCGCATTTCTCCACATATGCATGTATGTTCATGTCTCCACATGAAGAATGTTTTTTCTTGTATTGCGCAAACAATAACTCGTGCAGCGAAATGTAACAAGGGTAACGGTCAGATCACTACTGTAAATAATACCCTGAAGGAGATAGAAACTGGTAATATAAATTCGAATTTTTGTCCAATACAAACAATACCGGATACTATTTAGCTGAGAATCCATCTATAACCTTGTTTCATATTAATATACAGTGTATTAGAAATAAAATTGATGAGTTTGAGGCGTATTTGATTAAGAATCAAAATTACAATATTTGATTTTATATGTATTAGTGAGCTGAAGGGAGATGAATTTACGCATGGACTGCGCGTCTCGCAATGGAAAACCACACCATGTCACATAAAATTCTCTTGAGAAAACTATCTAAAGTGTATAACTTTGCTAGTGACGCTGTTGCTCTTGTCGAGTCCTACCTGAAGAATAGAACACAGCAAGTAACGTTGCATGGTGCGGTATCGAGTCAGCTCAGTTTGTCGCGAGGAGTACCATAGGGATCCATACTTGGCCCGCTGCTATTCCTGCTTTACATTAATGACTTTCCTCAGTATTTGGGTGGTGATGTGGAATGTTTGTTTTACGCGAATGACGCTACTAGATTGGTTACGGGGCCTGATTTTGATCGAGTCGTACAGAGATCTGATCTTGTTCTGACTAGGACAAGAGAGTGATACATTGCCAATGAGCTGTGTTTGAACCAAGATAAAACTACTAGAATGGCGATTTCATTGAGGCAGTTTGTTTTTGAAAATCTCCCTGTTGCGAGGTTCTTGGGTGTATCTATTGCCCCTCCCACTGTTGGAAGTAAGATTTGTAGTGAAGTTTACCTTTTGCGTAGGATATCTATGCCTTTATTCACTCCCATATTAATTATACTATTTTGGCTTGGGGGAACAGCCCTGCAAGTCAATATGGTTTTAGACTTCAGCGTAGGGCGGTGCGTGTGCTGGGTAATCTTGGTTATGCTGAAGATTGTAGATCTTTGTTTATTAAGTTTCAGATTCTGACCTTGCCTCCACTTTACATTCTTCAGTCAATTATATATATATGCACATAAACGTATTGGTCAGATGCCTATTCATGGGGATCTTCATGACTATAATACTCGGCATAACAGAGATAGTACATATGTTCAGTATCGCAGATTGACTAGAGAGCAGCGGGGATCGAATTACATGAGTCAGGTTTTATATAAAAGGCTGTCAGCTGGCGTTTGTGACTTGACGCTGGCTAGTTTAACGTCTAAGCTCAGCTCGTATCTAATTGTAAAGGCGTTCTACTCTGTTGACGAGTTTTTGCAGAGTGATGTTGTTGTTGTTGAAACGCTGCGTGTTCGTATAAATGTGTAATAAGCGTTAGTAATAGTAGTGGTAATGGGTTTATAACCCTTACCAATCATATGATGTAATCTCCCTCTTTTTGATTTTAATACCTTATGGCACAATAAACGATTATTATTATTATTAACATAGTTATAAAAAATTTGAATCGCGTTATTGATATCACGACTACCAAGGTCTGATTCCTAGTCAATTTCGTTAAAATACTCATTTAATTCAGGAAACCGAGCCTTTATAGAAAAAGTCAACCATTTTTGTTATAGATTGCTGATCCACAATATCAACTTCCGAAAAAGATGCCTGAAAATCCGGAAACGATCCATCAAAGTAACTCATTCAAGAGGTTGATGTGGAGCGTTATGGCCGAGAGCAGCTATTGAAAATAATTAAATTGAAGAACAACCGAAACTTTTAATTTATTTTTTGTTCAATCTCAAAAAAAAAATAATAAAATAAATAAAATAAAAATTCCGAAACAACTAAAACGACGGGTATTTTAAAAATACCCGATTGCTAGATGCAGTTATCTGTCAAGTTTTAACTTTTAATCCCAAAAAGATCGGGATAAGATTTTTTTTAACAACATACACGTAGAGCCCTTTTAACGACATAAAATCAAGTACAAAAGTGTAAATTTGGTAGGTATAATGTGTCTTGTCCTTAATATTAAAATATTTTAAAGATCTGGTAAACAAAAAAGAAAAAAAAAAGAAATAATTTTGTTTCGCTTAGCGCTTTTTTTCATATTGTTGATTTTCTTTTGAACGACGTTTAATAATCGAGTGCTATCTAGTCATTACGTTGTATCGAAGATAAAATACCTTCGAGGATTATGTTTAAAATATATATTAATTATTATTATATTTACAATTATTATTATTCAAATTATATTGTTATTTTTGTATAGGATTTACGTTAAAGTGTTGTACTTAATATATTTATTAATTACTTAAACTAATAGAGTGACAAACAAGTAGTTTCTATAAAAGTAAGTTTTTTTTAGTTTGTAATCAATTTTTAAATAGCGTCGTCGCTTTACGCACAGCTCCTTTTATCGTTTTAATTTATTTTGTTTTGCTTAGATAGGATTGTTGTAATTTTTTGGTGCAGTGTATTTATACATGTAATAAAGCTATATTTATTTAAACGGTTTGTTGATTTTTGTGAAGTTTCAATGGGATTTTGTGGTTGTAAAAAAATTGAATTCAAGGTAAGTTTTTATCTTTTAAATGAGAAACAATAATGAAATGGATCATAAAGAAATCGATTCGTATTAAAAATGCTTTCTTAAGACTAATGTTGCTAAAATATAAAATAAAAATAAAATTAGGCCAAAAGGAGAGTCTACTTCAGCGGATCATGAAGCTGCAGAAAGATACCCCATGAAATTCAAAAATATAATCGGAGAAGGTGGATATCTGGCACAATAAGTTTTCAATTCCTTTTTTGGAAGCGTTTACCAAACAGAACGATAATATCAAAGGAATTTGATTATCCGTTCGAGACGATTATCAACGAATATCAATCATATTCGGAGTAGTGCCACCAATTCGAGAATTTTCAAAATGTTATGACATAAAGTTGGAGCGAAATTTGATGCCAACACCGAAGTACGTTGGCTGTAAAGGGGAAATGTTTGAGATGCGAGAAAAACTAGCTTTGCTTTTTGACAATCATAAAACAGAAAAGGAGAAGAACTTTTGTACAAAAATAAAAGATTTAAGCATTTATCTCTATGTTGGCGTATTTGACTCACTTTTTCAGTGAAATTAACACTTTATATGTCTCATTACAAGGAAATATGAGCAATAGTCTGATAGCGCAAGATAATATTGCTGTTTTTTTTTGCAAAAACTAAAATTTACAAATGTAGAGTTCAAGTTGGTGACATAACGATGTTCACACATTTGTCCCAATCATTAAGTGCATACAACGAAAAAATATGCTATTTCACTGATTCCATAGTTTAGCACCTATCTTCTTTGATAATATTGGTTGAACCAATATTTCCTGGACATAGCGAACCGTCAAGTTTCATCCTGTATGCTGAGACTATTTTGTACAAATGAAGATGTTTCAGCTAAAGTTCAGTTTCTCGAACTACGCGAAGACAATACCTTAAATGTGGAATTCCAAAATTGTGACCTAGCTTTGTTTTGGACAAAAATGCAGAGCGAGTATTTTATATTACCTGACAGGGCTTTATAAGACCAAGCTGATGATATTCTCGAAGCTTCTGAAGATTCAGCGAAAAAATAGTAATAATTGGGTTCAATCTTGTTATGGATCTAGTCTTTATGACCCATTACTACGGTTTTATGTATAAAAAGTTTTTCTTCGTCGCTTTTAGTTTTTGAGTTATGACTGAGTTAATTTTCGAAAATCAACAATTTTGATATTTAATCGGTTTAGAGCTTATAAATAAAAAATGGTAATAATTGGGTTCAATCTTTTTATGGATCTAGTCTTTATGGTCCATTACTAAGGTTTTATATATAAAAAGTATTTCCCCATCGCTTTTAGTTTTTGAGTTATGATTTATGATTGAGTTAATTTTCGAAAATCAACAATTTTGAAGTTTAATCGATTTAGAGCTTATAAAGAAAAAATGGTAATAATTGGGTTCCATCTTGTTATGGATCTAGTCTTTATCGCCCATTACTAAGGTTTTATGTATAAAAAGTTTTTCTCCATCGCTTTTAGTTTTTAAGTTATGATTGAGTTAATTTTCGAAAATCAACAATTTTGATGTTTAATCGATTTAGAGCTTATAAATAAAAAATGGTAATAATTGGGTTCAATCTTTTTATGGATCTAGTCTTTATGGTCCATTACTAAGGTTTTATGTATAAAAAGTTTTTCTCCATCGCTTTTAGTTTTTGAGTTATGATTGAGTTAATTTTCGAAAATCAACAATGTTGATGTTTAGTCGATTTAAAGCTACTAAATAAAGAACGGTTATAATTGGGTTCAATCTTTTTATAGAGCTAGTCTTTATGGTCCATTACTAAGGTTTTATGTATAAAAAGTTTTTCTCCATCGCCTTTAGTTTTTGAGTTACGATTGAGTTAATTTTCGAAAATCAACAATTTTGATGTTTAATTGGTTTAGAGCTTATAAATAAAAAATGGTAATAATTGGATTCAAACTTTTTATGGATCTAGTCTTTATGGTCCATTACTAAGGTTTTATGTACAAAAAGTTTTTCTCCATCGCTTTTAGTTTTTGAGTTAATTTTCGAAAATCAACAATTTTGATGTTTAATAGATTTAGAGCTTATAAATAAAAAACAGTAATAATTGGGTTCAAACTTTTTATGGATCTCGTCTTTATGGACCATTACTAAAGCTTTATGTATAAAAAGTTTTTCTCCATCGCTTTTAGTTTTTGAGTTATGATCGAGTTAATTTTCGAAAATCAACAATTTTGATGTTTAATTTTAGAGCTTATAAATAAAAAATGGTAATAATTGGGTTCAATCTTTTTATGGATCTAGTCTTTATGGTCCATTAATAAAGTTTTATGTATAAAAAATATTTCCCCATCGCTTTTAGTTTTTGAGTTATGATTGAGTTAATTTTCGAAAATCAACAATTTCGATTTAGAGCAGTAGTATCCACTAATTTTTGATCATTTTCGGGGTTCATTTTACATACTGTATATGGAAGTTTGCGTAATTTGGACGACCTATGGTCCAAATTATATGGTGTAAAACAAATTTGTAATTGCACGAATAAATTCTATTCTATTCTAAAACCAAAATTGTCTTAAATTTTATGACAGCGCGCCCGCTAGAAGGTTAAATTACAGTAAGCGATAGTTCGGCTTAATGCGTACAAAAGAACCGTTAGAATTTGTACTTTTTTTATTTTTTGAATGAAGTATTATTTTCTGTTAAAACATTACATTATATACACTTTTTTGCAACAATTGTACCTAAGTAGATAAATATACGCATTACTTGTTTACATGAACTTTACATCACATCCTGTATTCATTTCTATTAATAACTTTTTCATCCAAATTATTATTAAGAATCGACAAAGAAACCGCGTGATCTTAACCCCTTTTCCTAAGGGCGAAAGATAAGGTCTTATCTTCGCCATCCACGATTTTTTACTGTATATTATTATAAACTAAAAATTTCATTTTAAAAAAATTGTTTTTATTAAATAATTTTTCGACTGATAACAATAATAAGTGTTGCTATCCTTCCCTATGATCACCGACCTTTGGAAGTACTAATACAAAAAAAAACCTGTACAACAAACAATAAATTAACATTTCTGTTTACACAACAGAGATAAGTCAGGCTCATTTTTTCCTTCATAATTTTTTTGTTCCATAAGCTCCTTTCGTTCAATAAATGGAGAGAGAAACTTGTACCAATTAAAACCTTCTGTCTTTTTAAATTTAAAACATCTAATTTTTAAATGCGCTATCATCAAATGCTTTCTCACAAAAATACTCCTTTTTTTCTAAATTTATTGCGTTTCTCTACTAAACTTTTATATCTTGTTTTAAATTTGAATTATTTTCTTTTAGAACATACGATACAATCTAACGATACATATCACCGTTGCTGCCAATGTTATACTACAATGCAAAATTTTTCTACGCGTATCATCTTTTCTAACTAAAACTGTAGGTGAACCAACATACAATGCGTTCACCTGTAATTTAGATAGATTTTGACGATCTCTTTCAACCTAAAAAACACAACCAAACATTTTTATACCTTTTAAATAATAAAACAAATACCTGATATTTTACACAATTATCAAATTGCCATGAAATTGTGTATAATGAGGTACAAACTGCAGAAAATACAGTAAACGGCAAATAAGTATATACACAATCAGGCCAAACAAAACCTAAAATAAAAATAATCACAATCTAATCTTATTAAAAAAACACTTTATAAATTATTTTAAACCTGTTACAATTGATGCTAAACCAGATACAACTGCAGTTTTATGTAAACAATTGCCCACAGTGATCCAACGAGCCGTTTCATCTCCCAAGGGATTAGGTTCAATAACAATAATATTACAATGAGCTTCTAAAGCTTTTTCAAGTTCCTGAGCAAAACGATCGTGAGCAAATTCGCTGTCATATACTTCTCGAATAACGGCAAGTTGTGTTGAATAGATGCTGCAAAATGTAATAATTAAAATTCAGCGACCGTTTAAATTGTTTTTTATTATCTTTTTGATTGATTTATTGTTATTAATAATTATTTTCTTACCGGTCTCCGCCTGCATCCATTCTGTTAATAAATACTTTGTTAACTTTCCCTTATCTTTGTTTTCTTTCTATTTTTACCGGCAATTCTTCCTTGACTAATTTAGCGAATTCTCTTAACCTTAAAGGTTATGTCAAATCAGTCATACCAACATATTTTTGTTACTAAATTAATTATTGGCGAAAATTTAAAAAATATAACGATTTTTTGTTTTCATTTATGTATTTGTTATTAATTTATTAACAATAAATGCTAAATGTGTATTTGGAAAAATAAATAAAAACTAAATATATTAAATAGATAAAATAGATTCATTTGTATCAGGCACACGTATTAATCTGGTGTGGTAACCATCAAATTTAATATTTTTAATTATTTTAACAAATTAAACATTAAAATTTGTTTATGAGTTACGCTTGATATTTAACTTTCAAAATGAAGAGACGTTATGATTTACTGCTTAAAAAATGAGCTATTTATACTTAAAACCTGGCATTAGGTACGTACCATCATAATTGACACAAATACAGTGGTACAAGTGATAGAAGTGAAACAATAAAGTCTGCAATAAAGTCCACATACAGCCCGAAAATGATAATATCTCAGAAATTTTTTAACAAAACCTGTAAGAAGTCCATATTATTTCCATATTTTATATAAAAACTATTCAAATAAGTTATTATTAATCAAAAGGAACACAAAACATAATCATATCTTTAACTCAAAAAAGTTTACATACAGTCCTAACAAAAAAGTCTAGTGTCCGTTATAGCTCAATAAAAATATACAACTATCTAGCGCTCAATAGCAAATAAAACTAGACTAACAATAGCACTAGACCTAGAACTAAAAACATTCCGTTTAATCGTGCGTTTCTTAAAACATAGAACCACAAGTGTAAAACTAGAACTAACACAGACCTAGAACCAGAATAAAGGGAAGACGCACGGCTAAACCCGAAACTTTCTAGTTCTATTATGTTATTCTGTGGTCTAGTGTTAGTTCTAGTTTTAATTCTAATGCAGCACTATATTGTTGTATATTTTTATTGAACTAAAAGTAGAACTAACACTAGAGCAAGAATTAGAATTATTCGGGTTTAGTCGTCTTTAAAGACGTGTGGCTAAACTCAAATGATTCTAGTTCTTGGTCTAGTGTTAGTTCTACATAGATAACAGTGCTAGTGTAAAACTAGAACTAACATTAGACCTAGAACTAGAATCATTCGGGTTTAGCCGTCTTGAGAGAGGTGCGGCTAAATCCGAATGTTTCTAGTTCTAGGTCTAGTGTTAGTTCTAGTTTTGCACTATCACTAGAACTAGTATAATTCGGGTTTAGCCGTCTTGAGAGAGGTGCGACTAATTCTACTGCTGTAGCCTTCAGTTCGTAGCACAAGTCGAACTATTTCAACTATGTATTAAAATAATATCCTTCGTTTAAAAAATTCATTAAATTCAGGATTTCAGGAGGGTGTATGTAGACTTTATTGTATCACTGTAGGTATGTTATAAACTATAAACATCAAAAATTAAAGCATATTTTCAATTTTGATGCATCTTTAGCAAATATTGAGCAGATATCTTCATTCTTCATTATTAACTTAAAAATTGTTGTATAAATAAGCAGTCTTACAAATTCCATTTTTCAATGTCATCTACATAGAGAGAAGAGGCTGCAAGGATGTGAATGGGAGTGCGGAATTGAAAGAGAGTGGCTTTAGATAGCAGGGAGTAGAGACGCAGATTGAAAGAGGCCAAGGCATGATTTGGGCTGTAGCGCCCTAGAAGGATGAGGGAATGCAGTGCTGGACTAGATCATAACGTTTACATTTTACATTATTCCAGTCATTCAACATTTCTTAAATAGGTAACACTATAATAACCACAGAATAACCAGAAATGACACTGACGTTGATTCGTTTGATGTTGGCGGCACCTCGTTTAATGACCTCGATTTAAAATCCGCCATCTTATCACAAGTTACCAAAAGCACAGAAGCAAGGTCCGTTGAGTAAACATACCGTATAAGGTTATCCAACTCCCTATGAACGCTGTTGTTATGAACGTATCAGTCTTTAGAGACGTGCGATTCTAGTTCTAGGTATAGTGTTACTTTTAGTGATTGCACTAGTGTAAAACTAGAACTAACACTATACTTAGAACTAGAATCATTCGGGTTTAGCCGTCTTTAGAGACGTGCGGCTAAACCCAAATGATTCTAGTTCTAGGTATAGTGTTAATTCTACATAGTAACAGTGCTAGTGTAAAACTAGAACTAACACTAAACCTAGAACTAGAAAGTTTCGGGTTTAGTCGTCTTTTGAGACGTGTGGCTAAGCCCAAATGATTCTAGTTCTAGGTCTACTGTTAATTCTAGTTTTAATTGTTATTATAAGCGCTAGATTGTTGTATATTGTTACTGAAGGCAATCCAGTCACTGGCCTGGATTACTTGCTGAAATGAGTACATTCCAATGCAAGTTCACATTATTCCAGTGCAATTTCAACACTAGTTTCGATCACTATACTGGAATACTACTGGAATGATGAACCGGGCATTACATTATTGGTAGATTTAAGAAAAATGTTTAAATTTTTTATTGTGATTAGTTCAGATATAACTGTCATAAGAAACGTTTTTACAATCGTTTATTTATAAAAATGACTTTTACATTGAATTTAACGAAACTATCACCAATTGGATCGATAGTATTCGTACGTTACATAAATATTCTACACGTAATATACAAAAATTATAAATTGAAATAATAATTAATACAATACCTAACATACACGCAAGCAATACGGCCCCGAAAATAACAAAAACATTTAAATTTTTAATCATATTCCCTGCTTGGTTCCTGTTGACTACAACGGCAATCTCTACGTTTCAGTTGCGGCCGTTGTCCTTTTTCAGTTTTTGAAGGCAGGGTTAATTCTGTGTAAAATGAGGCTGGACATCTTGGCGGTTGTTGGCAAGGAGGGCAACATTTTGGTGGTGGTGGTTGTTGACAAGGGGGACAAGATTTCGGTGGTTGTTGACATGGAGGACATGGTTTCGGTGGTGGTGGTTGACAAGGAGGGCAAACTTTTGGTGGTCCATCAGCAGGAGGACCACTTTTTCGTGATAAGGGACAAGGAGGGCAAGTCGGTGGAGATGGAGATCTTGCCCGTTCTCGAGCTGATTTTTGTTTTGAACATGCGCAAGGCCGCTTGGAAGGTGGGGGATAAGTTTGTTCAATTTGCATTCGGAGCATCATCTCGCTATTTAGAGACTTATTCAATTCAGATCGCAAACTCTGAAAATTAAAAAAAAATTAATTAAAGCAATTTTTTTGTTATCTATTTTACATCTAATTGTTCATTATCCCTCCGTTTTTTCGATGTAGACACATCCCGTTCCATATCTAACATTTCTTTTAATCGTTTAACATTCGATTTTTCTTTATCTAATTCCATTTCAAGTTGTTTTACTTTTGATTTCTCTTGTTCGCACATACATCTACAAAAAAGATAAAATAATAGTATTCAATTAGCAACAAAAAAAAAATCAATCAAACATATATCTTTGTATTTTTTCTTCGTGAATCGAATTCTTTTGCTTCATTATATCTTTTTCAACTTGCATGTTAGACATCGCTTTCATTTGTTGTTTCACCCGTTTTAGCAGATCATTGTTGGCTTCTTTTTCCACTTGTAACGAATTTCTTAATTCATCTAATCGTTTCCTTTCCATTCCAACCTCCATTTCCAATTTTTTAACTAAAAAAAATTGTTATTACATCATTGTTTTAATTATTCGACTTTTATTTACTTGAACTTTGTGCTTCGTGATGTTTCCCTTTCATCGATTTCTCCAAATTAGCATTTCTCCTCATTAACATGTACTTGTCAGTTTCGATTGGTTGAACTTCCGGTCCAGTTCCTCTTTTGTTCAATAAATCAGCCGTCGCATCACAGATTTTACCGTGCATATATTGCAGGTCTTCAAACGCTAGAGACTGTTATTAAAATAATATAGAAATTTATTGTTATTAATTTAATCAAGAAAATTAAAGTAGTAAAAAAATTGTAATTAACTTAATATAACAAGTGTGGCAATATGGATTACTAAATCAATGAAACGAACCTCTATTCCTTCGTCTAATGCACGTTGAAGAAGAGCTTCAAACTGAGGATCTTTTCCACAAGTACATTTTTCATCTTTCATTTCTTTTGTTTCGTCCGTTGTTCCTTTTGATTCGTCCGTTGTTCCTTTTGATTCGCCCGTTGTTTCTTTTAATTCACCCGGTCCTTTCTCTGATAGACGAGACATGGTTGAGGAATCTTTAGTAGGAACCTCTGGTTTATCTTTTTGTACATGAATATCTCTTACTGAAGATTTAACTGTACTTGTTGTACTGTCTTGTTTGGGTGGAGGTTTAGGAACCTTGTAAAAATATAAAGAAATTTAAGCCGATTTTTACATAAAAAAATTATTAACTTACAGAATCTTTGAGTTTTTGTTCTAAGGTTGCGATGCTCGCTTTGCTCTTCCTTAATTCACCCTTCAAACTTTCGACATCTCTCTCATGTTGTTTAGAAACTTCCCCGACTATATCTTCATGCGACATTTGTAAACTACTAATTCCTTTATTGTATTTGGCTAAAAGATCTTTCTTTTCTTGTTCACATTGCGCCTTCAAATTTGCAATCATTTCGTTACAATCTTTTTGTTGTTGTTCAAGTTTCTCTTGAAGTGCTTTGTGTAGCTCCTTCAGTTCCCGAATTAATGCATCTTTTTCATCGTTTTCTTTTCCGGTTTCTTGTAATTGTATCATCGAACTCTTTAATCTACCAGCAATGAGCTCTTTTTCTTCTTTCACATCTTCCACGGCTTCTGCCATTTCTTTATGCATTTCGGTTTTCATAGCAGCCAATTCTTTGTCTTTTGCTGCCAATGCATCTTGAGAGTCTTGTTTACATTTTGCTAATTCGGCCGCTTTCGCATCGAGTTGACCCTTTGCTTCAGATAGTTCAGCTTCTTTAGCTTTAAGTTTATCCTCGCATTCTTTAAGTTTTTGTGCAAGATTATCACCGGCAGCAGAAAGTTGTCCTACAAAATTAAAGATTTAATTTATAAGCACGAAGACTTTCACGGCCGATTTAATTAAAGGGAAGAACTAACACAAGAGCTATAACTACAAATTTCTGGATCCCATGTTGCAACCTTCTTCAGAAACAAGTTCGAAGTGACGAAACCGGTTCACCAAGAATGTATGGATTACCTAAAATCCATAAACCGGAAGCCCCACTATGCCCCATTGTCAGTGTCATAATAAATTCTGCAACCTATCAGCTGGCAAAACACCTTGCCACCTTTCTGTCATCTTCTACAGGTAAAACAGAATCGTATGTTCTATGCATTTTGTTGAATCTGGTAAGTTTCGTTGTGGAATCTCTGTTCCCTAGAGTACTAGCCAAAGATGCCATGGATGGTCTTTTCCAGAAACTCATCACGGAGGGCTTGCCGAACTATGTTCCAAGCAGGGTTGCAAACCTACGCCGGCTAAATGTCGGTAGAATGATTGATTCGGAGCATGTTACAAAAAAACTTTTAGAACAATAGTTGTGGCAAATTTTATTCCTAACAATATTGCTCTTACACTTTTACTCTCAGATTCGTAAATATTGAGAAAAACACGAAATTGTGAAAATTTGATGAATTCGTTGTTTATTGCATGCTGTTAATGGTAACAACACTGGGGAATCGGTGCATACTACAAAAAAACTTTTAGAACAATAGTTGTAGCAAATTCTATTCCTAACAATATTGCACTCTTTCATTTTTGCTCTCAGATGCGTAAATATTGAGAAAAACACAAAATTGTGAAAATTTGATGAATTCGTTGTTTATTGTAAGTTGTTAATTGTAACACTGGGGAATCGGTGCATATTACAAAGAAACTTTCACAACAATAGTTGTAGCAAATTTTATTCCTAACAATATTGCTCTCTTACACTTTTGCTCTCAGATGTATAAATATTGAGGAAAACAAGAAATTGTGAAAATTTGATGAATTTGTTGTTTACTGCAAGTTTTTAATGGTAGCACTGGGGAATCGGTGCATATTACAAAGAAACTTTTACAACAATTGTTATAGCAAATTTTATTTTTAACAATATTGCACTCTTTCATTTTTGCTCTCAGATGTATAAATATTGAGAAAAACACGAAATTGTGAAAATTTGATAAATTCATTGTTTATTGCAAGTTGGTAATGGTAACACTGGGGAATCGGTGCATATTACAAAGAAACTTTTAGAACAATCGTTGTAGCAAATTTTATTCCTAACAATATTGCTCTCTTACACTTTTCCTCTCAGATGTATAAATATTGAGAAAAATACGAAATTGTGAAAATTTGATGAATTTCGTTGCTTTTTCAAGTTATTAATGTTAGCACTCGGGAATCGGAGCTTTTTACAAAAATACTGTTAGAAGACAAGTTGTAGCAAATTTTATTCGTAACAACATTGCTCTCTCTAAGTTTTGCTGTTAGATGTGCAAATAATAATATACTATCTTCTATATCGGTGGATCTACCGATAAATCGATAGGGTTGGCAACGCTGGTTCCAGAGCTAGGCAGTACTTCGCCTATCATCGAAATATTTTAGCTGGAAAGAAGGATTTTATGAGCAATGTAAAGTGGCAGCGATGGGATCACCTCTGTCACTTGTGATCGCTAATATTTACATGAAGATGTTTGAAAAGAAAGCGTTAAGGAAGAATCCGTCAAAACCAAAACATCTGGCAACACAGAAAAGAGCGACTCCAGGAATTAATAGAATCTCCATGATCAAATTTATCATGGAAACGGAAGCTACAAAATAATTACTTTTTCTGGGTGTATTGGTCATTAGGAAGACAGATGGTGGCATGGAACTGGAAGTGTATCGGNCTTGAATCTTTTAAGTTTCGTTGTGGAATCTCTGTTCCCTAGAGTACTAGTCAAAGATGCCTTGGATGGTCTTTTCCAGAAACTCATCACGGAGGGCTTGCCGAAGTATATTCCAGGCAGGGTTGCAAACCTACGCCGGCTGAATGTCGGTAGAATTATTGATTCGGAGCATGTTACAAAAAAACTTTTAGAACAATTGTTGTAGCAAATTGTTTTCCTAACAATATTGTTCTCTTACACTTTTACTCTCAGATTCGAAAATATTGAGAAAAACAGGAAATTGTGAAAACTTGATGAATTCATTGTTTATTGGAAGTTGGTAATGGTAACACTGGGGAATCGGTGCATATTACAAAGAAACTTTTAGAACAATTGTTATAGCAAATTTTATTTTTAACAGTATTGCACTCTTTCATTTTTGCTCTCAGATGCGTAAATATTGAGAAAAACACGAAATTGTGAAAATTTGATAAATTTTTGCTCTTTCATGTTATTAGTGTAACACTCAGAAATCGGAGCCTGATATAAAAAAACTTTTGGAACAAAAGTTATAGCAAATTTTATTCTTAACAATGTTGCTTTCTTGCACATTTGCTCTCAGATGCGTAAATATTGCGAAAAACACGAAATTGTGAAAATTTGATGAATTCGTTGTTTATTGCAAGCTATTAATGGTAACACTGGGGAATCGGTACATATTACAAAAAAACTTTTAGAACAATAGTTGTAGCAAATTTTATTCCTAACAATATTGCTCTCTTACACTTTTACTCTCAGACTCGTAAATATTGAGAAAAACACGAAATTGTGAAAATTTGATGAATTCATTGTTTATTACAAGTATGTAATGGTAACACTGGGGAATCGGTGCTATTACAAAGAAACTTTTAGAACAATTGTTGTAGCAAATTTTATTTTTAACAATATTGCACTTTCCTGTTTGCTCTCAGATGCGTAAATATTGAGAAAAACACGAAATTGTGAAAATTTGATGAATTTTTGCTCTTTCATGTTATTAATCTAACACTCAGAAATCGGAGCATGTTATAAAAAAACTTTTGGAACAAAAGTTATAGCAAATTTGATTCTTAACAATGCTGCTTTCTTACACTTTTACTTTCAGATGCGTAAATATTGAGAAAAACACGAAATTGTGAAAATTTTATAAATTCGTTGTTTATTACAAGCTGTTAATGGTAACACTGGGGAATTGGTGCATATTATAAAAAAACTTTTAGAACAATAGTTGTAGCAAATTTTATTCCTAACAATATTGCTCTCTTACACTTTTACTCTCAGATTCATAAATATTGAGAAAAACACGAAATTGTGAAAATTTTATGAATTCGTTGTTTATTACAAGCTGTTAATGGTATCACTGGGGAATCGGTGCATATTACAAAAAAACTTTTAGAACAATAGTTGTAGCAAATTTTATTCCTAACAATATTGCACTCTTTCATTTTTGCTCTCAGATGTGTAAATATCGAGAAAAATACGAAAATATGAAAACTTGTTGAATTTCGTTGCTTTTTCAAGTGATTAATGTTAGCACTCGGGAATCGGAGCATTTTACAAAAATACTGTTAGAAGAAAAGTTGTAGCAAATTTAATTCATAACAATATTGCACTCTCTCAGTTTATCGGTAAATTGGTAGGGTTGGCAACGCTGGTTTCATAGCTAGGCAGTACTTCGCCTATCATCGACATATTTTAGCTGAAAAGGAAGTGACAACGATGGGATCGCCTCTGTCACTTGTGATGGCCAATTTTTACATGAAGATATTTGAAAAGGAAGCGTTAAGGAAGAATCAGTCAAAAACAAAACTATGGCTCCGTTACGAGGAGGTCACTTTCGTGATCTGACAACACAAAAAAGAGCGCCTCCAGGAATTAATAGAATCTCCATGATCAAATTTATCATGGAAACGGAAGCTACAAAATAATTACTTTTTCTGAGTGTATTGGTCATTAGGAAGACAGATGGTGGCATGGAACTGGAAGTGTATCGGAAGAAGACGCACTCGAACAGGTATCTACAGGCTTCATTTCATCAGCAATCACAACAAAAGAGGTCAGTGATCCATGTTTCAACTAGTAGAAAAACTACTATAGAAGAACGCCTACACTGTGAGAGATATTCAGAACCAAACAACGCAAGCAGAGAGAAGACTTGGTAAGTACTGCACCGGCCGGTTTTATCTGTCTTCCCTATGTTTTAGGTGTGATGGAGCGGAATGCGAGGTGCTTGAAGAAGAATGATATCGTAGTACGATACGATACGATACAGCAAAATACAAAGCGCACAAACTATCATGCAGTTTCTGGAAGTGTTATGTTGGCCAAATTAGACGTAACATCGAGTCTCGCACCAAGGAACATGAGAGGGATGTCCAACTGAATAAGATCCAACAGTCGCCAGTTGCAGAGCATTGCCACCAAAGAGGATTCACCAAGACAAAGGTGCTAGCAAGAACCAGACACTTCGTACTTGTTTCTGAAGAAAAGCCCAAAAGTTTCTAGGTCTAATATTAGTTTAAGATTTAATCTCTTGTTAAATGTTACCTTTGAGATTTCCATTTTCTGTTTCCATCCCTTTAAGTTTATCTTGTAGTTGTTGTATTTGATTAAGTAAGTCATTGATTTGCTTTTCATAATTATCGCTGATATTTTTCATTTCATCTCCTGAGCTTTTAGCTAGTTGATCAACTTTGTTTTGTGCAGTTGCTAGTTTTGCTCCGGTTTCTTGTAAATCTTTTTCTAAAGCACTATTTTTATCCATTAAAACGCCGACTTTTTTCTCCAAATCGTTGTATTTATCAGTTTCGTCTTGAAGTTGTTTTTGTAAAGCGTCCTTTTGATTTTTCATGTCCGCCAATTGTGCCTCTAAATCTGCCATCTTTTTATTCTTTTCTTGTTCACTTTGTAATTTACTTGCTAAATCAGCGCTCTTTCCTTGTTCGGTTTGTAATTGATTCTGCAAATCTGAAATTTGCGCTTTACTTTTATTCAATTCATCTTGTAAGGCTTTAAGTTGATTTTGTAACGCATCTATGTCTACCGTAGGAGCTGGGGGTTGAGCGCTCATATTCTTTAATTGATCTTGCAGTTTTCTTAACTGATCTTCGAGAGCTTCTTTATCTTTTTTTTCTTTCTCTAAATCGGCTGCAGCTTTGTCAGCGGCATCAGCTAATTTAGTTTTTCCAATTAAATCTCCTATATCTTTCTTTTGTTTTGCAATTTCATCTAAGAGATCAGCTTTTTCTTTCTTTAAGTCGGCTAATTGTTTGCTGTAATCCCCTGCTTCGGCTCGGGCAGCTTGTAAATCTCCTTCGAGTGATGATATTTTACTATTTGCGTCTTGCAATTGTTTGTTTAATTGATCGATGAGTGCTTGTAAACCACTGGCATCACCAGCTGATTTTTCGGAGGCGGATAATTTTTCTTTTAATGCAGCGCTTTCTTGTTCCATTCCGTCCATTTTACTCTTTAAGTTACCGTTTTCAGATTGAAGGTCGGCCGCTTGCTGTTTTATTCGATCGTTTTCAGCTTGAAGTTCCGCTAATCTCTTTTGTAACTGATCTAAATCGTCACCTACCGCTCCGTGACTATGTTCTAATGTATCAATTTCTTTTGTAGCATCGTTAAGATCTTTAGTTAACTTCTCTTTATCGGCTTGAAGACTTTGTATAAGCGCAGCATACTCGGCTAATTTCGCTTTTAGATCATCTAAATCTTGGGAAAGACTTTCTCTATCACCTTTAACACTAGTCTCTAAAGTATCTTGCATCTCAACTTGTTGCCCTTTTAATTGATTAAGTTCTTGTTGCAGGGCACAGTTTTCTGATTGGCATTCATACAAATTTCTTTGTAACTCATCCACTTTTCGTTTCATAGCTTCAAGATTAGATGCAAGATCTTTAGTATCGCCGTAAGATTTATCTAAAGAGCTTATTTGTGTTTTGCACGAATCTAACTGTCTCATTAATTTATCCCTTTCCGCTTCGCAATCTCCAGCGCTTTTCGCTAAATCCTCCAATTTTTGATTACATTCATTTAATTGTTGCATTAATTTATTATTTTGGTTTCTTTCATCATTAAGTTGTTTGCACATATCTTGTAATTTGTCTTTAAGGTTTGCTAATTCATTCATCACATCGTTGAGTTCTCTATCCTTATCTGACAGTTGTTTTTTAACATTATCTAATTCCATAGTTTTAGACATTAATTCTTGGTTTTTCGCGTCTAATTCTTGATTCTTTGATGCTAATTGTTGGTTTTTAGCATCTAACTCTTGTGTTTTAGCATCTAATTCTTGGTTTTTTGCGTCTAACGCAGATTTGATACATTGCAATTCTTGTACTTTATCTTCTAATTCTTGCTTTTTAGCTTCGAGATCACTTTGAACGGTTTCAAGTGCGGTTTTTTTATCTTCAAGTTCTTTCAAACTATCTTCCAATTCTTTTTGTTTTGCTTCACACTCTTTCTTTTGCTCTTCCAAACTTCTTTTTTGATCTTCTAATTCCTTTTTCTGATCTTCAGACTGTTGCATTTTTCCGCCTTTTGAATCATCACCAGCCTCTAATACATCCACCTCAGTTTCTCTTGATTCTCTTGATGGTGGAGTTTCTATGGCTTCGGATACTTCCGATACAGTTGTTGGCACAGCTTGAGAACCAGCGTCTGGACTTTCCGGTTTCTTACTTCTACCTAACGAATCCCTGCAGTCTTGAAGATCTCGTTTCAATTTGGCGTTTTCGTTTTCTAAGTTAGAAGTGTCCATTGTTGATTTTCTCGTTTTTGATAATAAGCACTCTTCTAAACCTGCAATTTCCTTCTTTAAAGCACTTATTTTTTGACAGCAATCTGATTTTTGTTTTTCTAGCTGTTTTTCGAGGTCTTGAATTCGTTTATTGGCAGTTTGAAGCTTATATTTTAAATCATCAACATCGTCGGGATCGGCTTTTGCACCGCAATGCTTCATATCATCAATCTGGTCTTGTAACGCTCTTGCCCTTTTTTGGTATTCCCGCGATTTTTTCCTTTCGCAGTCCAATTGACTTTGCAGGGCTGCGTATTCTGGTGAACTTGTAAAATCGGTTTGCGCCCCTTCAGCTAGGGCACCTTTTCCACTACCACCAACAGTTTGTGATCCATCAGCTCTTCTTTGTGAGCCAACTGGTATTTTTGATTTACTTTTATAAACCGATACTTCTCTTAATAAGTTATCGAGTTGATCTTGAGATTGCGCAGCTTTCTCTTCGGCTTCTTTTAATCGCTGTTCTAAACGAATTTTTTGTTTAACAATGGCATCTATTTTTAGGTTACATCTTGAGCTTAATTGATTTTGCCTGTCTTCATTATCGTGCAATTCTGATCTAGCCCTTTTTACTTCAGTAAACATGTTATCAACTTTTTCTTGCATATCTTCCATGTCATCTTGATACACATGTTTTAGTTCGTTTAGTTTTCTCTTTGAGTTATCTAATTCGTCAAGCGACTTTCGTAAAGATTTTTGAGATTTTTCGAGCCGTCCAGACATATCATCAAGATCTTTTTTCAGTTTATCATTGCTGGATTTTAAGTTATCGTTTTCGCCGTCAACGTTTTTTAATTTATTGTTAGATTCTTGCAGACATTGACATTTTTTTTCTAAAGCTTCGGTGCGCGCTTGTTGCGTTCTCAATTGATCTATCAATTCAGATTGTTGTTGTTTTGCAACATCGAAATCTTCAACTCTTAATGCTTTGGTGTCTTTATTACCCACCGCATTTCTATCTTTTTCTAATTCATTTATTCTATCTTTACATTTACAAAGAGTTTCAACTAATTCTTGTATTTGCTCTTTGGCAACTTCTTGTATTTCGTTCGAAACTTTTTTTAATATTTTGTTCTCAGCTACCATTCTTTCATCGTCAACGTTACCTTCTGTTAATTGTTTGATAGTTCTGTTGGCATTTTTCAATTCATCTTGTAATTTGTTGATTTTTTCTGCCATTTTTCTACATTCCTCTTTTTTCTCCTTACGAACTTCGTTTCTTTCAGATTCAACTTGTTCTAATTTTTTAGCAAGTTCCTCAGCTATTTTTTTCACCGCAGCTTTGGATTGCTCCAACATTGTATCCGCATGCGTGTTAGTTTTTGCACTGCATAGTTGTTCTCTTAATTTGCAGTTCTTTTCTGTTGCTTCAGCTAATTGTTGTTTTAAATTGGATATGAGGCTATCTTTATCAGTATCGTTAGATGATGCGCTAGAAATCGAAGATTTCTTATCATCATCATCATCATCACTACAGATATTATCTTGACATTTACATGCGCTACTATCCGAGGAAGAGGTATCGCTTTTATCATCAATACTTCCACAATCGCATGTATTCTTTTTGGAAGGAGGTTTCTTTTTCGGTTTTTCCTTTGATTTGGTTTTATCATCAGTACATGTACATTTATCACAGACTTTTTTAGTTGTAGTTTCTACGGCTTCATTCTGAGTGGTACATGCACAACATATATTTTCTCTTTGCGGAGTACTTTGCTTCCTCTCAGGAGTTTTTGATTGTCTTCGTTCAGATGATTTTGATTTTCTTCTCTCGGGTGTTTTTGATTTCTTCGAGCATGTGCAAGGTTGACAAGGCAGTTTTTTCGATTTACTTTCTTGCACCATTTTATTTATGTCCACTAACTTTTTAGTCTCCATATAAATCTGTTTTTCATAACTTCGGTCGTAACCTCCTGCACCCTGTCCAACTTGCGGTGGTCCAACTTGTGGTGGTCCAACTTGTGGTTGCCTAAATGGACAAGGAACAACATTTTGTGCTCCAACCATCGCTCTTTCAATATTCATTCCTCTTCTCATATCTCTTTCTTGCTCACCTGCCATCACGGCATTCGGTTGAGTGTCACCTCTTCCTCTGGAATATGGGCATAAAACATAATTTCCATGATCTTCTTGTCTTGGTAAACCCATTCCCCCAGTCGTTCCTCCGCATGTGCATGGAGATCCCTGAGATGAATACTCAGAGATATGGCTCCCAGTACCCGGGGAGGGTTTAGTTGCATCAGTCGGTCGAGATTGACAAATTTGTCCACCTTCACTTTCCCATCCCTTATCGGTGCCTACATTTTTTCTCTGTCCAGGTCCTTCACTTTCCCATGGTCTTTCTGCTTGTAATATTCTCGATTGCCTCTGCGGTTCCCTACTTCTAGAGTAATTTGGTCCGCAAATTGTTCCGGTATCTTTTGTCGGTTGTTGTGGTGGCTCTGTCCATTCACATTCGCATGTCATTTCAATTGCGACTTCTTCTGCAGCAATACGAGAACCATCCCCAACGGATCGATCTTTATTTTCAACTTCACATATACACTCACCATCTTTCTTATCTTTTCCACCAACGCTTTTATCTTTTTCAAGATCTTTGCTTAATAAGGATTTTAAAACCGGACATTCAATATCTTCCACTTTCACACTCTTAGAAAGACAGGCTATTAAATGATCTTTATCTTGGATTGCAGTATTCAAATCGTCGCATTCTTTCTTCTTTGCTTCTAATTTTGCGCTAAGACATCCGCAATCTTCTTCAAGCTCATCGACTTTGTTTTTTAGTTGATTTTGTTCAAAGGAGACATCCGAAATAGTGTTTTTAAGGTAATCTTGAACTTTTGCTAATTCTTGTGCCGAATTAGCTATTATTGTATCTTTCTTTTCTATTTCTGCTCGTGCGTCAGCGAGGGCGGCACACATACGTTCCTTGCAATAAAAACGAAATTCGGCTTAATATCTTATTTATACTTCATTGGAAATTATGTGAAAAATTTACTTACCTTATCTCAGCTTAAAGAGATACTTAAAAAAATCATTGCCACACTTGTTCAACATTCTCAAAAAAAAGAATGTTTAAAACATAATTTACCTGTTGCTCATCCCTTCCTTTTGCCAGGCATTCAATATGCGCGACTAATCTATTGATTTCATCTTCTTGGTCAGCTATACAACACTCGCAATCCCTCACTTGTCGTTGTAAAGCATTTCTTTCATCATCCAAAGACTTAGCACGTTCCACTTGACATTTTAATTGCTCACATTCCTTTTCTAACGTAGTTAAAACTTCAAATTTCTGTTTGTATTTATCTCTTTCGGCTTTAATACACTCAAAACCTTTTGTTTTATTCAAAAGTTCCATATATTCATTTTCGATGTTTGATAATTCGTCAACTCTCGCTTTCATTCGATCCCTTTCTATTCTTAAAACGTCAGCTTCTTTAACGCGATACTTAAGCCGTTCCATTTCTTGGTCTTTATCGCCTACTTCCATTGACCTCCTGCGTAATAAATCTCTTTCAGCTTTTACTTGTTCCAGTTCTTGGCAAGTGCATTCCATTTTTTTCTCTTTATCTCCCATTTCCTTTTCAAGTTCACTTATTTTAAGAGATGATCTTTGATCTCTTTGGCTTAATGTTGATACTTGACGTTTCAATTTGTCGCGTTCTGATAATAAGGAACACTTGTCTTGGAAACTATCGACATCATCTGGAATTTGTCCACATGCGCGCAATTGATCTTCAAGTTTAGTCACTTTCCTTTTAAGCCCATCACGTTCCTGCTTAAGAGTCTTGATTTTTATTTTACCTTTGGTGATTACATCACGAAGGAAATCGACACTAGCGTCTTCGGGTATCTAAAAAGAATTAAAGTAGAGATTTGACAAGAAAGGGGAAGTATTTTACCTCCACGTCAGTACTATCTAAAGATTGACCATCAACAGCATCTTTTAATTGCTCTAAACCTTGTATTGCGCTTGCAGATACTTCTTTTTGTTGTAAACGATCTTCTTCGCTTGCCTAAAAATGAATTAATAATTTTTTTTTTGATTTAAAAGGTATAACAGTAGCGTACGGCAAGGGAAGTTTTTAGGGAAATTATTTCCGCATCTTTACTGATTATTTGTTGTACTAAATCTTCTTTACTCATTCCATCTAATTCTGACTTCGACATAGGTTGATCAGGAGCAGCTTCTGGTGCAGCTTCTGGTGCAGCTTCTGGTGGTGCTTCTGCTGCAGCTTCTGGCGCAGCTTCTGGTGCAGCTTCAGGTGGAGCTTCTGGTGCGGGTTCAGGTGAAACTGCTGACGCAGCATCGGGTGTAGCTACAGGCGCAGCATCGGGTGTAGCTTCTAGTTCAGTTTCGACTGCAGCTTCTGACACAGCTTCGGGTATGCTTTCTGGCGCAGCTTCAGCTGGAACTTCAGATACAGCATCTGGTGTTACTTCAGATACAGCTTCTGGTGCTCCTTCGCTTGTAGATGGTCCAGCTGTAGCTGCTTCGGCTCCTTTGGTAGCGCAAATAGCAGTGCATACTTGTTCTGGTTTTGGTGGCGTTGCTGCGCCTGGTGGTGGCGTTGCTGCGCTTGGTTTTGGTTTTGCTGCGCATGGTGGTGGTAATCCACCTTCCATAGCTTTATTAGCAGCACATACTGGAGGTGGTGCACAAGGTGGAGCTGGAATTTTCTTCGCTGTACAAGTATCCACCATATCTGAGTCGCGAAATCCTGGAATACCACCAGCGCTTCCTGCTATGGATAAGTGAATTTCTTGACCTTCTTCGGTGACATAATCACCAGGACGTTCTGCTGGAATGGCAACCGTGCCATCTTCTTCAATCCATTCACCAGCCTTTTCCCCGTGAACCATTTTAGTGCCCTCTACAGCAACAAATTCATCCGGTCGATGACTAGCTTTTAATACCGTTCCGTCAGCCATAACAAATTCACCGGTGGACGATCCAACTCGAAGAATATTGCCACTGTCATCTATCCACTCCCCAGGCTTAGATCCTCGTCTTAAATGGCGTCCATCGTCGGTTACGATCTCAGGCGCATGAAGAATCTTACCGGCCGTATCCACGTATTCGTCCAAATGATCCTCCGGTTTAACAATGGTACCATCATCCATCACCCATTCGCCCGGTTTATCGCTTATTGCTTTTACATGATCACCTGCGGTACTGACAAATTCTTTTGGTCTTTCTTTAGTGTGGACTATCTTATCGTCTGGAGTTATAAATGCACCGTAGTCATCCCCTGGGCGTAATTTCATTTTAGAGTCCGTTACCCATTTTCCATGTGTATCTCCAGCATGAACCACTTCTCCCGTATCAGTTTCCCAATCGCCACTTCGGTCATCACCAGCTCGACCTCCCGCTTTATCATCAAAATCTCCTAAATGAATTGGTCTACCATCAGCAGTAACAAAATCACCGGGTCTTTCTCCTGGTCGAACTATTGTTCCATCTTCCAGAATCCATTCGCCTGGATTCGGTCCTGCTCTTACCTTCTTTCCATCAGCTGTCATAAATTCTGATGGTCTATCTGCAAACATAGAACCACCATCGTCTGTGACGAATTGACCAGGAACTGTCCCTCCCCTTACTGGTTTTCCATCTTCAGTTAACCATTCACCTGGTTTCCCACCCTGTTTTAATTCTTTTCCATCTTTTGTACGGAGCGAAGCGGCACGTATTGACGTTCCATCATCCGCGACGAATTCTTCTGGTCTTTCTGCAGACAGAACTGTTGTTCCGTCATCCAAGCGCCATTCTCCTGGCTTACCGCCAGCCTTTACATGTTCCCCATCAGCACTAGTAAATTCTCCAGGTCGTCCACCTGCTTTGACGACTTTTCCATCTGGAGTTATATACTCTCCTGGTTTGGCACCAGGATGTAATGATTGTTCATCTTCTACTAACCACTCACCTGGTTTACCACCAGGTTTAGCATGTTTTCCATCAGCAGTAGTCATATCCATGCTCTTAATAGATCTTCCATCTGACCCAATGAAATCGCCGGGTTTAGCACCTTGTCTTACTTTTTCCTCACTTTCTGTTAACGTCATCTCTCCAGGTTTTCCTCCAGGGCGCATTTTTTTACCATCATCGGTGAGATATTCTTTTCCTCCACCCGGTCCGCCCGCACCAGGTCCGCCTGCACCAGGTCCACCAGCACCTGGTCCACCAGCACCCGGTCCACCAGCACCCGGTCCACCACCACCCGGTCCACCACCACCCGGTCCACCACCACCGGGTCCACCACCACCGGGTCCACCACCACCCGGTCCACCAGCACCCGGTCCACCTGCTCCTCCTGGATGATCTAAAAGATATTCCTTTGATGTCACCACAGTTCCATCCGGTTTAACAAATTCTCCTGGAGCTCCACCAGGTTTAAGAGGAACTTCACTGCTTTTGACCCATTCATCCGGAGAACCACCTGGTCTTATTTTCGAGCCATCCGCAGCCGTATACTCCGCCGCTGATACCGGATTGCCGTCTTCATCGACTAGTTCTCCCGGTTTACTTCCAGGTTTTAATCCTTTTTCTGTTTGCATACGCCACTCTCCAGGTTTATCGCCCGCTTTGACTTTTTTCCCGTCTTCCGTTTTCCAAGGTCCGGGTTTCCCATCTTTCCAACCTCCTGGGCCTTCAGACTCGCTTCCCGATGTTGCACCATGCTTGCCCGATGTCCCAGGAGTGGTTGTGCTTTCACCATAATCTTCAAAGTCATCGCTCACTTCTTCAAGTTTATCTTTCTAAACCAACATACATTTTTAGTGATTTGATTAATGATTTATCATATAGATCACATTTTTATTAAAAATATGACGTATTTCACTAACAAATAATTGAGGTTAACTGTCAAATCAAAAGCTATAAACATAACCTCAATTAGTATGTTTTCTGGAATAATCGTTTCAAAAAATTGTACAACAAATTATATTTGGCGTATAAGTGTTAAAATATTCTTACCAATCGATCAATTTCTGCTCTTTGTTCTGGGGATAAAAACTTTTCGCAGTCTTCCAAAAGTTTCTTTAACTCTTCAATTTGTCTCCTTAGTTCATCTATTTCCATGTTTTTATTTAACATTAACGTATCAATTAAGACTTCCATAGGAATATAACGACCAAGTTGAACTGCTTTATTTCTCAGCATCAATTCAAGAATATGTTGTCGACGGTCTTCCCTTTCCAAGGTCCATGCTCTCGCATCTGTCGCGGAAGGATACCTTTTCATCCGAGCTTCCGATCGAATGGGAAGCGGTAGAATAGGATCGTTTATGTCCCGAAACATTCGGGACTTCTTTTGCAAGTATGTAGTCATCTTGGTAGATGAGGTTTGCTACTTTTACACTAATATATATTGAAATTGTTTTTACTTAAAATTTTGGTGACCTCAATTGGTCGCAATCATCCCGGTGCCTTGAAATATCGCTAGCGGTCTTCCTGAGGGATTTTTGTGTTCGATTTGACTTTCACGTCTCCAGCTAGATGGTTCTTTTGCCCGGCGGCACTTTGGAATACGCTCGCCTGACACACTACGCCTATTTCGCTTGTCAAACAAAATATATGATAGAAGCCAACACACTTGTTAATTTTATTAAAATACAAATGTGATCAAGGATTTATTTTTTAAATCGAAATTGATTTATCTGGTGAAAGTCGCTCCACTTCCACTTTGATGCATCCGCTTAAGTCTCATCGGTTTCTTCACAAACCAGTTTGTTTAAGAAATCCAGATAATGAACACCACAAAGTTGTATCTTTGTTTCCTTCTTATGAACGTCTTCAATACAATTAATGTGGTAAAACCCGAATCGTTTTGGCAAAAAATATTTAACACCATAAAAAATAATAACGCAACGAATTTCTTTCCTATTAAATTATTTACGCCAAGTAATGGAACGGTGAGCAAATTTGGACCAATTTTGGAATATTTCTTACAAAGAATTCAATCGCATAATTCTGTTTTTATTCATGAAGATTTAAGCCGACCACCGACGTGGGATAAACCAGTTTATACTTTATCACCGGAAGATGAAGCATTTTTGGCAAGTTTTGAAACAACCACCGAAGAATTGTTGTTTGAAATAATCAAAGACGATGAAAAAGAAAACGAACAAAAACATAACGAGTCCATTTCGAATCAGCACCAAGTTATTCATGTAACGAATCAAACTGTACAATTTAATAATGAAAATGTGTATGGAACGAGCCATATTCAAACTTCAATAATTCTTGGCAGGAAGAATAAAAAACGGTAAACGATATAAACTATAAATTAAAGTACTTAATCTAACGGATTTTATGTATTATTGGTTTTTGTATGCTTTATAAGTTACAAGTTCGAATAATGATGTTGATTAAATAAATGATACTAATTAATTTTTTTTCTCAAGAAAAACAGTTTTAAATAATGATGATATCTTCTTTAAATCCTTACCTTTTGTGAGATTTCTTCTCGAAGACGAATGTGTAATGAGCACCTGCTAAAACGTAACTGTAAAAATTTTTTGAAATGGTAAGTTCGTGACAGTAATTTAAAAGCTGATGGCAACGTACCAAAAAGATAGTAAGTCGCTGTTATTCGAACAACAACAACCAGTTCTTCTTTACTTTCAAAATGAAGATATGCAGTATTTTTTTAATCACTTTTAACTTAGTTTATAGTGCTCCATTAGTTACTTTCAGACCTATTCAGTATATGGGGTAAGAAAAATTAATTGCAGTAAAACCTCAATATAACAAACATCTATAATATTACTATCATCAGTATATTTAAATATAAATATTAGTATAAACTCGGGGTATTCCCCGAGTTGTTTATACGACTTATAAATCTAGAACGGTAGGTCTAGTTTTTATTGATTATGGTTAGTTAAATCAGCATCAAAAAAATTGCAACATCGAACATTTTATCAAAACTTCAAATATTGTTTTCTCAAAATCTAAAAGTGATTTTTCAAAACGTGTTGGTTCATTGGAATGAGGATACTTTTATTAACATTTTGGGAAATTTTTGTACTCATATTCCAGGAAATGGATTTTATACGAATTTTTAAAACTTAATCGGCGAAAATTGAAAAATTCGAAAAAATTGTCAATCATTTCAAAAATTTATTTTTCAAAAACTAAAAGCGCTTTTTCAAAACGGCTTTTTGCATTAAAAAGAGGATACTTTAATTAATAATTGGTGATATTTCCACAAGGAGCCATCAAGAAATTAATTTTATAGCGAATTTTGAAAGTTATCGATGAAAATTGCAACATCGAAAATTTTATCAAAACTTCAAATATTGTTTTGTCAAAAACTAAAAGTTATTTTTCAAAACGTGTTGGTTCATTGGAAAGAAGNAACAACAACCAGTTCTTCTTTACTTTCAAAATGAAGATATGCAGTATTTTTTTGATCACTTTTAACTTAGTTTATAGTGCTCCATTAGTTACTTTCAGACCTATTCAGTATATGGGGTAAGAAAAATTAATTACAGTAAAACCTCAATATAACTAACATCTATAATATTACTATCATCAGTATATTTAAATATAAATGTTAGTAAAAACTCGGGGTATTCCCCGAGTTGTTTATACGACGTATAAATCTAGGACGGTAGGTCTAGTTTTAATTGTTATTCAGTGCTAGATTTTTATTGAACTAAAAGTAGAACTAACACTAGAGACGAATTTGCCAAAAGCCGGATTATGGCGATTATGGTTAGTTAAATCAGCATCAAAAAAATTGCAACATCGAAAATTTTAGCAAAACTTCAAATATTGTTTTCTCAAAATCTAAAAGTGATTTTTCAAAACGTGTTGGTTCATTGGCAAGAGGACACTTTTATTAACATTTTGGGAAATTTTTGTACTCATATTCCAAGAAATGGATTTTATACGAATTTTTAAAACTTAATCGGCGAAAATTGAAATATTCGAAAAAATTGTCGATCATTTCAAAAATTTTTTTCTCAAAAACTAAAAGCAATTTTTCAAAACGGCTTTTTGCATTAAAAAGAGGATACTTTAATTAATAATTGGTGATATTTCCACAAGGAGCCTTCAAGAAATTAATTTTATAGCGAATTTTGCAAGTTATCGATGAAAATTGCAACATCGAAAATTTTATCAAAACTTCAAATATTATTTTCTCAAAAACTAAAAGTTATCTTTCAAAACGTGTTAGTTCATTGCAAAGGGGACACTTACATTAACATTTTGGGAAATTTTTGTACTCATATTCTCAGAAATGGATTTTATATCCCGAATGGACCCGAATATTTTTAGTTCTAGATCTAATGTTAGTTCTAGTGCTAGTGTTAGCTATAGTTTTAATTGTTATTTAGTGCTAAATTGTTGTATATTTTTCATTGAACTAAAACTAACTCTAAAAAGTTTCGGTTTTAGCAATGCATCTTCAGACAAAACAGACTTTTGGCTATTACGAATTACGAACAGTCTCTTCCCCATATTAATCCGTTATATTGAGGTTTTACAATAACTAAATCACTTTACTTTATTTATAGATATGGTCCTAATACAATGAATATGAATAACATAAATCAAAAATTTTTTTGGCAACAAATTATTAGTCAAATCGATTGGTTACCAATAGAAGTAAACGTACCGGATGTCGTAAATAACATTGTATCAGGGATTCCATCAAACATTGGGGATTTTTTCCAAAGAGTTCCGATTATTAATACATTTATAAACCCGAATCAACCCAGACCTATGTCTTATATTGTTTTATTGCCGAAACAACAATTGGATCAAAAAAATTTGAATGATTATTTTAATCAAAACATGGTTTATCCATAAAAAACAAAAAATATTTTTATTTAGTATGTTTAATTCGGTTAATTTATAAATTAAGAATATTTGTTTAATAAAAAAAAAATTAAATTATCCATGAGCTTGATATCCGCTAGCATTTCCCATTCCTTCAAAAACGGACCTTTCAAAATTTTCTTTATTTTTTACATAAATATCCTGAAGTGTTTCCCTTTTTTGTTGTCCTTGTTTATTAACAATAATTCCAACAGGGTAATCAACGTTATAAAAGAAACCATGTGGAGGTCCTTGTTCTTCCGGTGTTGGTTCATACTTCCAATTACCTCCATCACCAGTATTATCATTCGGCGATTGTTGGCCATAATTTGGACGTTGATTTAAAACTTGAGCAGGTCCAGTGGCAGATTGCAAATTAGGTTGTTGATATTGACCCCCTCCTTGTCCCGGTTGTTGTTGCCCAGCTAAATTCGAGCTAAATCCTGAACCCTGAGCGCCATGGGGATAATTTTGACCTGGGTGTGCTGACCCTGGTATATTTGGAGGTCTAAAAAGTGTGTTATAGAATTAATAAAAATAATTAAATAAAAAAATAATAAAGTTACGGGTTAGATCCTTGACTATTTCTTTGTGCCTCTTCGTGCCATCTTTTAAAAAATTCTTCTTTAGCTGCTTTAACATCTGGTGAATCATCAACTTGTTTGGGTGCTATCTCCGCGGTATTATCAACTTGATGAAATCCTGTACCATCGTCCCAATACTCGACTTTAATTTCTTTTCCATCATCGACGATGTATTGATAGGAACCTTTTAGATCACCTCCAGCTTGTTTTTTCTCAGTTTTAGCGATATCAGGTACTGAATAACCATATAAATAACTTCCAAGTCCATCTTGACCGTGATATTGATTGGCCAAGTAAATGTCTTCTAAAACGTTCGTTGGAGTTTTTCCTAACACTCTAACAGCTGGGACGTTCGAATCAATTTTTGGTGCGTATTTCAAAGTTTGATCTTTGGAATCGATTATTTGCTTGGCTTCTTCTGGTGGTAATATATCCAAACGAACATCTTCGGATTTCGACGATAAAATGAGCAAATAAAAAATCTAAATGGTAAATAAAGATGTTTGAGCAATGAAAAAATGTTAGTATGATTTTTTTGTATTACCAGGAACGAGAAAGAGGAAATCATCTCGGCTGAAGATGAGCACGCAAAAACACAACAATTAATAAAGTACACGCCTCAAAGTGCTCATCTTTCTATTTATACCATAAAATCCCACCTTCGCAGAATTAATTGCATTGAAGATGATGCACTTTTGCCCCATCTATCGAGAAAAGCGTTGTCAAAAGTATTTAATTCTAATGCAGCAGGTATGTAAAACGACCTTGGCTCATCTCTAAGGCGTCATTTCAAGAAGTTCACATGATCCGGTTGTGTGGCAATGATCGGGAATTTCATGGGCACGCTCTTACGTTCGGTTTAAAATTTATATTGTTTCGTCTTCTTTCCGGTTCACTAATTTTAATAAATCGAAAGATCCAATCAACACGTTACGCAATCAATTTTAATAACAATTATTTCACGTGTATGAATGGGAAGTTAGGTTGGAAGCTTAACAAGAAATAATTAATTATATGTAATTTTATAGTCACGTGTAATATAAAATAGTAATACTTCTCCTTTATGACACCTAATCTTAATGTTTTTTAATAACTAGCAGGATCTAAAATGATGTAATGGCTTATTAATCTTCTTACGACGCATTGATTTTAATAAAGTTATTTTTGTATCATGTTGGTCAAATCAAAAATAACACGACGATTTTAATAATGAATAAAGAAATAACACCCTGTATTTTTCCTTCCTTAAAAAGTTACGCGTGAATTCCAAAATTGTAAATCACTAACAATTTTTATTAAAATAATATGAACGAATTTCGCAATAATTAGAGCAAGTGCTCAAAATTTCCTTCTTCGGCAGTAATATTCGCTCAAGAACTGGCTCTTTGATTGCCAGTTCTTGTAAAGTTGAATCGATGTAGAATACACAAGTTGTTTTAGGTGGCACCTTAAAAAACATCTATGGGAAGTGCAATCTGAAGAACATGGTGGCCACTTCTTCGATTCGGAAAAGTATTATTTGAGTACTCCCTAGTAACAAGTCTGAAATGTGGTGGACCACCGCCATACAAGTAAGATAGGTAGATCATTTTTCAAAAAAATTATGTATTTTCTCCCACTCTCTTCCATCAACCCATGTCTCCACCATACCTATCACCTCAAATCTCTTCAAATATTCCCAGAATTGCCCTTCTTTGTTTATTATTTCTGCCCCGTTCCAGAAAACCAATTTTATCTCTCCCTCTCCTTTAGTTTTTTGATCAACACAGTAATCCGCTTCCTTCCTTTAAACCTTCTCTCCATGTCCCCACAATTAATACTTCTCTCCGCCAACTCCGTCGCTATGTGGTATTCCCCACAGTTTCTATCCCTCGTTTCATGTCTGTCATCCTTCCTCCTAGCTTTGCAATTGCCACATAGTTCTCCACCTCCAGTTTGCAGAAAAGCTGGAGATGCCCAAAGCCCTGGCACCTAAAATCGTCTATTTTCAATGGCAATAACCCAATGTATACCCTTCCAAACCTTGTAACCTCCCTTCTCACCCTCCCTGATACTTCCATGACATATTAATTTACTACCCCCAGTTTTCTTCTGCCAGTCTTGAATAATATTTTGACTTGCTTTCTGAAGTCATCCCAACCTATCCCAACCCCTTGTTCTATGTTTTTACCCCACAACTGTTGTATCATCACCCCCTCGCTCATCTCTCTGTCCACGTCATAGAGTATCGCCTTAGGCCACAGCATGGCTGGTTCCCGCATCGTTATCTTCTCCCTTACCAATTCAACATTCCTCCCCGAGTATCCCTCTATTAATACCGTCTTGTTAAAAGAAAATATGTTATGGACAAGATGTCCATTTAATCTGTCTGGTAAAAACATTGGTCCTATTAAATAATCGTCAACAATACCAGTCCAGATATTACTTAAAAAATGTTGTTTATGGCTTGATTGTCTAATCACGTGAGGATTTTCTGCAGCTCATTGGTGGTCATTATGAAAAAGTGCTTCATCAGTAAAAAGCACAATGGATTGGAAGTTCGGAAAGATACACTGCTGTAGAAACCAGTTACAAAATACATTCATGATCGAAAATCATATGGGCTACTTTACCCATACCGCTGGGATAGATCTCGACCAGATTTTTAATGTCAAGCAAATCTTATGGAGCGCATGACAATACGATGTAGATGTGTATATTTGTTGATTTTAAACAAGCAAAGACTCAAGACTCTGGTGAGACAGCACAGTTATTTAAAATACTTAGAGAATTTAATATACCCTCAAAACTAATAAGACCTGTTAAAGCCACACTAACAAACACAGAGGTCTGCTTACAAAACCAGTTAACAGGAACAATTAACATTGCGCAAGGACTAAAGTAAGAAGATGAGCTGGCACCAACATTATAAAACTTAACACTTGAATACGTTATCAAGAAGATGAAAATAGGAAGAGCCAACCTGCTTATTAATAAAACCGTCCAACTGGCTGCATACGCAGACGATATTAATATCATGAGCAAAACAAGAAAAGAAGCAGAGGAGACATATGAAACGTTGAAGGAAGCAGCGAAAACACTAATAAGGAAAAAAAAGTCATGTTTCATGTTCCGCGACCAACAAGATTACAGAAGACCAAATCGAACCTCTAAGAGTTTAAATATCTTAGGGTGGATCTGACAAGCTCTTGGTGAAGAGGATGGAGAATCGCGCTTGTCAACAAAGCTTACTTTGTTCTCGCAAACATATTTAAAAGCAAAAGCATAAAACTCAGAATATCCAGGATGATCCATTTAACTTAAGACAAGCGATTATCTGAAAAACGGTTTATTTAACATAAAAATTATCGAAATAAAAATTGTTCTTACGAAGGGGGAACCCATATGATGATAACATTTTAGACATTGAACTTATTTTGAAAGTAATATGAAGGTCACGACCAATTTTTGTAAATGGCACTCTATATTTTTGAGTGCAAAATCTGAATCTATAGACAAAAGCAATTCTTGGGCGTCTAAAAAAAATCTTGAAAGACTATTTCAGAACGCTCAACAAAAAAATCCAAAAAGGTACATCGGGTGACCTGGGTTGTCGGATATACCTTTGGAAAAAGCTATAAAAAGTTCCGACCTTTGTCCATTTTATAAGTGATAATAGAATAAGACATAAAATACAAGAATTCGTGAAACTGCTTATGTCGAAATTTCCGGTTGTTTTAAAATGTAGCAGGTAAAACTAAATTAGCATAAAAACTGCTCCGCTACAAATTCTGAATTCATTCCATCGTTTTACATCAAGGCAAAGTGTTTAAATTAAGTCATTAGATTATATGTATGTATTATAATGTACGTATTATATGTATTACATCATGGATACTCTAAGTGTGGCAGAAAAGTCCACATGATTTTTATTTACGGAGGAAGTGACAAAAAAGTTGCTGATAGCATAGTTTTGTATCGAACGCGTTTTCCTGATCGAAATATGCCTTCAAGTGCCTTTTACAGAGTTGTAAATGATTTCACTAACACTGAAAATGTGAAAGCAGGAAAAAGAACTCGGGGAGCAACTGTAACTATGGAAGAAAAGGAAATTGCGGTATTAGCTAGCATTGAGATAAACCCTCAAGTTAGCTCTAGACGACTTGCAATTGATGCCGGAATATCGAACACCAGCATTTTAAGAATATTAAAGCACAAGAAGTATCACCCATACCATATGTCATTGCATCAAAAGCTTCATGGAGGTGACTTTCAAAATCGGTTAATATTTTATCAATGGGCACAAGAATGAATTCGGCTGAACCTCAACTTCTGCTATTCTCGAATGAGTCTACTTTTACAAATCACGGACTAGTTAATAGACATAACATGCACTATTGGAGCGTTGAAAATACGAGATAGTTACGTGAGGTAGAACATTAACGCCCTTGATCGGTTAATGTTTGATTGATCTGTCCTTACTTTATGGTGTGCTGAATGGGAAAAAGTACCGAAATTTTATAGATGACACCTTACCACCGTTACAAGAAGATTTGAGTTTGGAACAAAGACAAACTATATGGCTGCAAAATGATGGGTGTCTTGCACATTTTTCACAAATTACCAATGAAGCTTTAGATCGGGATACCGACTACACCAGAAAACATGAAAGAGATACATAAGAAATGCGTGCAGAAATATTGAACAAAAAAATCTTTGAAGTTTGAATTAAATTTTTTTTTAAATTCGTATACTTTTATCTATACATTCAGATTTTGCAATCAAAAATATATACCATTTAAAAGATTGGTCGTGAAAAACTGCTCGTCAAAAATAGAACAGAACAACTCTTATTAGGATAATTTTTATGTTAAATGGATCACCTGTATAAGACCATAATAAGACCTATCCTTACGTATTGCTGCGAAACGTGGCCATTAACACAAAAACTACCAGAATATGTAAATATATTCGAGAGGAAGATCATGAATTATATCTCCAGCTCAATGAAGGAAAGGTATCCAGTTGCATAAGAATTCTGAGGCTGCAATGGGTTAGGCATATTACCAATATGGAAGAAGGAAAGCTACTTAGAACGTTAACATTTTCGCGGACACTATGATATCGATAGTTCACCCATAAACGCACCAATTGACTGCATATGCAGTTCTGTCCGCGAAAGTGTTAATAAATAGGAAAATGCAAGGATTAAGACCGAAGGGATAACTACGGAGAAGATGGGAAAATACAGTCGATGTGGATATAAGAATGCAGAGACTGAAAATGAAGGTAGCCAGGATTCCACAGTGGACTACAGCGCTATAGGAGGAGGAAGAGGTGTTCATGCACAATTCTCAATACTGTACTATGCGAAGCATCTGTGGGGTCGAGTTTCCCCACTCGATGCACACCGCGTCTCTCCAAACGACAATGCAACCCACTGTGAGGAAAACCAATCGTCTCTGGGGTATAAAAGACCCACCCCTGAGCGATAAAAAGGAGACTCAAACTGTAGCTCAACTGGCCGATATACCCTGTAAGTACTTCAATTGGTATATCCCACACATCAACTGTAGCTCGTTGGCACGCAGGACTTCCTCCCCTGACTGAATCCACGTCGACGCTGCCGATGGATCTAACCTCCGCCAGGAACTTGAAGAAAGACCGCTGTCGCCTATGCTGGTGCTCCGACACTGAAGTCTATTTGAACACTAAACTCACAAACTCACTTCCTTGTAGACCCCACAATATAACTTAGGAATCAACCCCTTCGAGGTGAACAGGATAGACCCGCGTCAAGGAGTAATCAAGGAGTTAAAAAAAAAGTATTGGTTGAGAAACTTCTTTAATAAATAAACCGAATTCTATATCGTTTCCCGCAGTATAAAGCAGTTTTATTATAATTAATCCGTTTCAATTTATTATTAATATTTAATAAAATCAAGAAAATCCTTAAGTAAGAACTAGAACTAAACATAACGTTGACATTATTAAAGATAAACTAGCGTGGCGAATCGTTATCGTCCTCGTAACATGTTTACGAGTGTTCTCATTTCCGTTTGGAATTCGGTGGTGCCCATGTCGACGATGCCAGAGAGCATTTGAATGAGTGGATCGATTTTTGCCGGCCCGTTTTGTTGATTTAATAGAGTACTGAAGAACATGTTCCAACAATCGACGCGATAATATCTTGAGAAACGGTGTTTAATCGACCAATGATCATCTTTTTTCTGCATCTGAATATATTTGTCAAAGAGCAAAACGTGAGCGGAAGCGGCTACGCAAAATAAATCGGTGTGATAGCTCCATGGTCGGCCATCCAACATTTCGCAACAGGTAAAATCTTCCGTAGTGACTTTTCTTAAGAACGTTGTGCCGTGTGGAAACATAGCCATATCAATGCTACACCCAAAATCGATAAGATGCAACTTAACGTTATTGTCTACAAGTTGAACCAAAAAATTGTCAGGTTTTATGTCTGCGTGAATAATTTTCGTGGAATGCATTGCACTGATTATTTGCAACATCTCGATGCAAAAGTATGCGCAAAGTGATTCTTTCATTGCGCGACCATTCTTCTGTTTCAATTTGTTCGTAATGTCCAACAAAGAACCATTTGGATTAAAATCCGATATCAAAATTGATACTTGATCACTATAATAGCCTCTATGTATATCCATAAATCTATCTTTCATATGATTACCGGCTAATCTCGCCTGTAATTCCCTGCAAATATAATACTCCCATTTATTAGGGGGCCTCTGGTATTTGACGGCAACAGTTTGTCTTGTTTGACAATCTTCCGCTTTGTATACAGAACCAAACGCCCCCTTCCCAATTAATTTCTCTATGTAATACTTTTCCCTGCCAACATCAAGATATTCTTTTTTAATCACTATTCGAGGTATCTCATAGACTCTTGTGTAACCATATATATGTTGTCCTGGAAAATTAATTCTTTCCAAAAGAGTTTCAATCAGAGACGTTTTGAACGGATCATCAGGTGCTGACATTAGCGGAGCTATCGTTGTCGGTTGCACAACGGGGTGTATCATCGATGGTGATTCTATTGTTGAGGTGTGATGCTCAGGGGCGCAATCAATAAATTCACCTAGCGACCTCGATCTTAAAGCAGCATTAGCTTTCAAATTTTGTTCCAAATTTATGTGAAAAGTACTTTGTTCTTGTAAACACAGCTTTTTTGAGTTAAGCAATGTTGATTTTAAAGCAGATGAACCGCTACTTCCGGATGAACTATTATAAACAGATTAATTATAAATATACAAATAAATAAGTATTATAGCTACTAGCGTCGCTGATAATCAACCTATAATGATTAATATTTACTTAATACAAATTTTAATTTTTCTTCAATCAACTAAAAATTGACGCTAAAGCTACGTTGTATTGAGAGTCATTGGCTTAAATATAGTTTTCTTGCAGTTTCTAATAGAATATGTCAAAGTATTTAGAACAAAAGGAATTAAGATGGGCCAAAACCAAAGAAAGAAATGGTGGAATGGAATGGTATAGGTTAAAATAAAACAGAAAAAAGAAGCTTGGAATAGATTCAACTATACCAATGAAGGAGGCAGGAAGCAAGATAAGCCATGAAAACAGAAACTTGAAGTTAAGCGAAAATTATAAGAAAAACCAGAAACAATTTGAAACAGTTAAGAAGGGGGCCAGTACAAAAACAAATATGAAATATAAAAAACTAAAATGGAGAGTTATGAACGACCAGCAAAAGAAGAGGATACTGAAGAACGGGGTGAACGTGGAAGAACGGCGTAAAGCTCTAAAATGAAAAAACCATCAGAACTATTAAGAAGCAGGCAGTAGAACGAAGATAAGGACAAAAATATTCTAGCAGCCTTGGAATACTGAAACAATGCTCCAAGATTGGAAGAAGAACATAATCGTGTCAATCCACAAAAATTGGAGAAACAACTTACTGTGAAAATTACAAGGCAGTCTGATTGGCGCCGGAGAAGTTTACTCAAAAATCTTAGAAAAACTATTAAGACGCCCCAAACAGACTTGAAGAAGAGCAAACGGCGTTCCGACTTAACAGAACAATATAAAATCACATATACACCCTTAGAGCCATAATAGAGAAAATACTAGACGGAAATAAGGATAAATACTAAGTCTTCCTGAACATAACCTGCTTACAAGAGAAGAGAATGATAATAAACAGTATCAAATGCAAGATCCTATACATCATAAAGGCAGAAGGAAAAGAGAAGAAGAGTAGAAGATTACGAATATCCATAATTAATAAAGATGACAAGATAGATTAAGAGATACGCATCAGAATAGCGAAAGGAAGTGGAGTCTATTACCAGATAAATAATAGCTTGGTAGGTAAGATGGAACTAAGTATTAAAGCAAAATTACATCTATACAAATCCATCTGTACACCCATACTCGCCTACGGGTCGGAAATTTAAATAATGTTTGGCAGACACAAATCAAATATAAGAGCAGCAGAGATGAAATATCTGTGAAAAATAATGAGAAAAATCAGAAGAGACAGAGTACGAAACAAGATCGTCAGAAAAGAACTAAGCTTGCGAGCTCTAGTAGGAGTTAGAAGAGAAATAGAGAAAATGGTTCGAATGGATGAGGAAAGAATACCAAAGAAAATATTCAATATGAAACCATAAAGAAAAAGAAGACAGGGTAGAAGAATGCCTAGAGATAGGAAGACCTACAGAAATTGTATTTGAGTTCCAACACTGCGAGGTAAAATAAGATTCCAAGATAGGTCATTTTAAAGTTAGATAGCCATCTTATTTATTCCGACACGAACATTTCTTTGAGCGGATATTATCGTTTATAATATTCCATTGGTTAATACAGCTCAAGAAAATAATATTTAAAATATTCTTGAGTGCAAGAAAAATAATATTCGTTAAATACTATTACTCCTCCACTGGTGAGACGATGTGCTGAATGGGTGAACGAAACTGTATACACGCATTGAGTAAATATCATGTATTTTCAAACAGTTGTCCTTAGAGTATCCGGTACAAGATCTAAACCATATTCGCACGAGGACAATAAACCAAAGCAAACAACCAGGAAAATTGAAGAAAAGGAATACGTCATAGCAAATATTTCTAATGACTGTCCAAAAATGAAATAGATACCTACTTATTTGAGCTTATTGACCAGAAATTTTTAAGCAGTTAACATCACCAAATCTATCGAAATGTTTCTGCATCTTACAAATGTTGTGGAAAACAACATGTCGCCTTTGAATCAAAGAGATAGATATCCAAACCTCGGAGATTTGGTAAATTTCATTTACAAAAAAAAGATTCTCATTTCTCCTCAAGTTCAGGCACATATTTGGACTCAAACTTGTCGGTTATCAAAATGAATCAACATTTTATTAAAAAATACTCCGACTTGAGAAATATGCTAAATTATGACTTTTACTTGAAACATTTCAGAAAAAACTTTAGCTACAAGTTTGGAAGGCCACAGTTGGACGTGTGCTCTACATGTGAAGCGTTAAACGCAAAAGTCGAATCCACTAGTCTCAATGCAACAGCAAGTGTAGCAGTGGTGAAACTACTAATGCACAAGAGATGGACCAAAAACTATTGAGATGATGAGATGTCTACCGTATTTTATTATATCCAGAACTAGCCGCTGCCTTTAATGCAAGAAATGATTAATTTCAGATAATTGTGGTATTAGGAGGATTCCTAATTTGGACCGGTAATGGTCGCCTTAGCTTGGACCGGTCCAAATTAAACAATGGTAGTATTCTTCAGCGCATAACTTTGTATTATAAAGTTGATGAAAAAAACTCCGTTCGCAATAAAGTGAAGGCACTGGGTGTACCAACAATATATTCTTCAGATATGGAAAAAAACTATTTCTGAACACATTCTTCACCTTGAAGAATGTTTTTTTCTGGTTAACAACCACTAAAGTCAAAAAATTTGCTTTTCATGTTGCGGAAAAATATGGTCTACCACATAACTTCAGTAAAGGTAAGAACTTGCTGGCAAAAAGTTAAAGAAAACTGGAAGATACCTCAATGGCAAAGCGCAAGAGGCTTCAACAGAAAGAATGTCAATAATTTTTGTGATTTGTTAGAAAACATTTTCAATGAGCATAAATTTACAGCCGACATATATGTAACGTGGATGAGTCACGGTTTACCACTGTACAGAAAAGAACTCAAAAAGTATTTGAACATAAAGGAAAACATCAGGTAGGAATTATAACAATTGGTGAACGTAGTATCAATACAACCGTGGTATGTACGGTTATTACTGCTACTTTATTTAAGAGACAAAAATTTTGCATTAATCTCAAAATAGGAGAACAGCACCTCCTGCCAATATTGTTGCAATTTAAAACGTGGGGTACATAAACACAAATTTATTTTTCGAATGGCTGAAACAATTCCACAAACATATCAATTGCAACAAGAATAAAAGCTACTTTAAAATAACTGCTGTTATTGAAAAACCCTTTACTTATTCCGATCCAGATACATGTTATTATGTTATATAAGCAGGACGCCTAAAAGTCGTGCTGTGCTTTGATATATCGACGCTGCCAAACTAAAACGGCATAAATAACAATTACTTGATTTTGCAGGAAACGCAAAAAACTTGTGAATATTTATAATTTCACGGCCAGTGATGGTTGGCTGCAAAGATTTAAACACCGACGTGGCTTAAGATTTTTGAAAATCGCAGGGAAGAAATTAAACCCAGATGCAGTAGACCCTTTTAAAGAGGATCTAAAATGTATGATTCAAGAGCATGACCTAAAGCGGCATCAAATTTATAATACTGATGAGACAGGATTGTATTGGCTTATTGCCTGACAAAACTTATATCTCATTAGCACAAAAAACTGCTCCTGGATTAGAAATTTCGAAGCAACGACCGACGTTTATGGGTTGTGTAAATGCTTCAGGCTTACATAAGCTGAAACCCCTAATGATATCAAAAAATCCAAGGTGATTATATTTCAAAATTATATTACACAATTCGTAGGTGAGATGTTTTCTGCGAGTTAGCTCAGAAAGCAATTGTCCTTGTGGATAACGCGAAGTCCCATCCACCACCAACAGAACTGAGGACTAAAGATGGGATGATCTTTGTAAAGTTCAAACGCTCACCAAACTGTACTATAGAAACAGTTTGCTCAGTTCTGTTGTATCAATGGAAGAAGGAATAGCTGCAGCACTCAGTAAAGATGCAATACATTTGTCTGCGGTGTGGGAGAAACTTAGCTCAACAATAATCAAAAATTTGGAATAAAGATATACTAATGTGCACTTAAACAATGGAAGTTTTTCACCTGCATAACCTCTTAAATATTAACAAATACACAACGTGTTTTCACCACCACTGACCATCACACATCATTCGATAATACTGCATAATTCTGTCATAATTGGGTGATAATTTCTTGTTATTTAGTGTAATTATTCATTGTAATATGTTCTCTACGAAACAACGCAACAAATTTTTAAATATTCGATAATTTGACGAAGCCAAGGCACAATTAGTATTAAATAAAGTCCATTGTTTAAGTGCACATTAGTATATCTTTATTCCAAATTACAACACAATGGTCAGCAAAGAAAATCAAACAATAATCAAAGAGACTTGGAGAAACATCCTCTCAGATTTTAATCAACATAATGAGGATGCAGACGAAGATAACATTCCGCTAAGTATATTAAGGGAAAAATTAAGATATGAAAAAAGTTGATGCTATTAGGGATACAATAAATTTACTACAGGAAGTAGCTCCAGTAAGTTAATGCATAAGTGGTTTTAGAACTCGATAGCAAAATCTTAAACAGCACATTTTAGGATAACTACACAGCTGCAGATGTGGAATATTTGGACAAGGATGAGGCAGAAGATGTTCTTCAGATGAAGATTAAAATGAATGCACTGAAAAAAAAGCATTTAATATTGCATTTGTAGAATGGTCAAATCAAAATTCCATAAATATAAGTGAAATCATCATCTTATAATATATTTATCTCTCAAGAACTGTTGTTTTTTCTAATCACATTTTTTAAGTTAATTGACTTTTTCTGATTAACTCTTAAAAAATTTGTCTTTAAACATTGCTTGATGCTATTTATATGAAATTGAACAAGTAAAGGATAGGAGAGATAAGAATTAATAACCTAAAGAACATAATAATTCATTTAAAATGTACTAAATTTGAAAATATCAAAAGATAACAAAAATAACTTTTGATATTTTAAAAAAATTATAGAATTTAATAACTTTCTATATTATATTTCTCATTATAGGCTGATTATACGACACACCCTCTTTGTTTACATACCTGTAAGTTTTACTTTCCTCTAAAATAGTTGACAATCTCTCAAATAACACTTTTTTCGTGCTACCGTTATTAACGTTTCGTTCAACGTTTTGCTGTTGTTGTTCTTTGCTTTGAGGAGTACTGACTTTCATGGCATTCAAATTAAAATTAAACATTTGCGTATCAGGACATTCAACTTCTCTAGATCCAGTTCCTTGATAGATCGGGTTTCGATCGTCCAAATTCGTTACGTTCCTAGCGCTATCTACAGGTTGTGCAGCCATCGCAATATCTAGGCCCCCACGCGATCCGGTTTCAACCAAATCATCGGTTGATAACGTTTTCAAAGGTGTTTTCATCGCGCTGCCTTTAGGCTGAGTGTTGGGTTCGCGCAAGTTCGAATCATTAAAAATGACGAAATTGTTCATATTTTTCTTTGGAGTGACTTTATTAGTCGTTTCTGCATCCAAATCACCTTTTGATGCCCATAGATCATCAATGATTAATGGGCTACTTTGCTGGGTGTTTATTTCTGGGTGTAAATTGGGTGTAGTTACTTCTGGGTATAATATTGGCATTTTAGGATCTACGTAATAATTTTTTGTGGTTGCGAGATTCGGTTGCTGTGAGATTGAATTGTTTGGTATTGAATCATTAAATACCTCGAATGGTGGAGGATTTTTAGAAATGGATGACTCATCTCGAGGTAAATTCATCTCTTTTGTTGTGGTGTTTGGCTCGATAATGCAAGGAATTTTAGATAGATTGAGATTGGATTTATTAGCTGATGTTCTGCTGTTTGATTGCATTTGGGTCATTTCTAAATTGGATGAAATCGATTCATTCTCTGGAATATTTACACTTAGATGGATTACATAACCAGCTGATTTTATCTCCTCTAAAGAATACTCTGTACCATCACCAGGATAAACTTTGTTTTTTGGATATTTAGTTATTTTCATTGGGTCATAAGGTTCCATATAATTCAATGGTATTACATAAGAACTGTAACATTCGTTTGTTGATCTTGCAAAATTTTGGGGTATTTGTAAATTTCTTTGGTGTACATCATAACGATCCTCATGTATTAAAAACGCGGAAGTTCTATGAGCTGAATTTGTGTGCCCAACTGTTGCATTAGTCCAAACGCCCGGTTTCATTAAATTCTCTTTTACACAAATTTCGCGTTTAGCAATATCCAACACACTATTTGGAGCTGCACCAGCAGCCAAATAATCATCATTATAGTCTTGATACACATTAAATACTCTCCCAGCGTTTTGAGGGTGTGTTGAATGTCCAGGATGCATTCCAGAATGGGCATGATGTGTTATAACATGCTCTGAATGTCTTGTGTTACCTACACGACCTGACTTGTAGATGTGAAGTGATGTAAGTGCATTACGTTGATGTTGTAGCCGCTCTTCGTTAACGCCACTAATAACTTGTTGCCCAGCGGCAAAAATTAAGCTTTGTTGAGCAGCTAAAAGCTCTTCGTAAGGCTGAGCATGTTCGCGTATTCCACAGTTTAACACCAAATCTGCGTTTTTGAAATCTCCCATCACTTCATGATAGAAAGACCAAGCTCTATAAAAATCAGCGCAACCTTTACACAGTCCTTTTGAAAACAACATATGATACAATTCTATGGGGTTTTGTTGATAATCAATCTAAAAATGAAATTAACCTGGATGTTGATATTCTAAAAAATAAAACTTGCTTACAAATTTAATCCATAATTTACAGAATCTTCTATCGTTTAAATATCTTTTATCATCCTCAAATTTTTTTAAGCAGTCTTCTAGGAACGGTAGCAAATTTCCCTCATGTCCATGTTTTGGAAAGCTTTGTTCGATCCAAGATATATAACTATAATAATTTTCAAGGGGATCGTCTCCTGTATATGTGCGAATAGCATTTTCGAATTCCCTAATATAATAAGAAATGCGTTAAAACCCAAACATAACCTAGAAAACTCAACATCTTAAAAACAACATACTGTTTTTGCTGCATCAATTCTCGCTGTAAATCCGCGCTGTTTTGTGCTTGAATAGCAACACCGAGTTGCGTGGGGTTGCGTCCACCACGCAAGGGTTGAATATTTTCTTTACTGTTATCGAAATCCATGACCAGTTTTGACGTTTCGAACTGTCAAAGTGTTTATGTTTGAGGATATCGCGCGAACAGGTAATAAACGGGAGAAACGTTTAATTTCGTTCGATTTGCTTTGAGACTTCCGTTTTTTAACGGTTTCACTTTATTTAATATACGTACACAAACATATAGCGAATACTGTTTTTTAAACCCGCACATAGCACAACATGGCCACCAACATTTTCTAACTGTCAAATGGGGTTAACATAACTGTGTGAAAGTTTTTTTTATAAAAAAAATAATATAAAAATAAATTAAACAGAAATCTGCTTTAACAGTGATGAGTTTTTTAATGATTTTAATATTGGTAAATTTTATAAATATTTAACCAAAAAAAAAAGATGTTGAAGGGTTACCAATACAATAACTTCAATTATTTTATTTATTTAATTAATTATTAAACTAGTAATTACATCATATCAACATTAATTAAATATTCAATAGAAATAACCGTATAAATTAAATTAAATCAATAAAAATAAATTATTTTATTTTCATTTTGTTGTAAGCCCTGATAAAATTCAAATTCAAAATTTGTTAATAAAAAGTTAATAATAATTAATAAAGTTAATAAGTTAATAAAGAGTTAATAAAAAAAGACAATGCGAAAATGATAAAAATCTCTTTATTTCGTAATAAATAAAAACGTTTTCACACTTTTAACCTTGACGAAAGATTTAGTAACATTTACGTGGTTAAAGAAGGAATTTTGAGTTGAGATTTTTTGCGTAGATATATCTAAAACCGCTTATCGATTTATTGAAACCGCAAGTGCACGTTAAGGACAAACAATATTTTGGGCCAAAAATAATCATGGAAAATCCACCGAGAGTGCTTTCAATCCAAAGTCACGTAGTTTCTGGTTATGTGGGAAATAAAAGTGCTACATTTCCATTGCAAGTAGGTAAACATATTGCTATTTTTAGCGTAAAAAAACATTAAAACGTAACAAGAAAAAAAATCAATGAAGTGTCTCTGCGAAAGTAGAAAATGGCGGGATATTTGAATTCGGATTATTCTTTTAGTTACTTGGTTTCGATGTGGACGCGATTAATTCGGTTCAATTTTCTAATCATACTGGTTACAAACTTGTTAAAGGTCAAATATTAACCGATAAAGATTTAAGGGAGTTAATGGAAGGTTTGAATACAAATAATATTGATGAGTATACTCATCTTTTAACAGGATATGTTGGAGCTACCACTTTTTTAGAAGAAATAGCTAATATTTTGAAGTACTTAAAAGCTAAAAATAAAAACCTTAAATATGGTAAATATAATTTAATTCATAAATTTATTTGTTACACAATTTATTTCTTTAAGTATGTGATCCTGTGATGGGCGATAATGGTCAAATGTATGTCCCCAAAGAACTTTTACCAATTTACAAGAACACAATCATCCCACTTGCTGATATCCTCGTTCCAAATCAATTCGAAGTTGAACTATTAACCGATCGGAAGATAAAAACAATAACTGATGCTTGGGACGCCATCAATTTGCTTCATGACAAAGGTTGTGGAACTGTTGTTTTGTCTTCTACAGAATTAGGAGCTGAAGAAGGTGTTTTACTTGGTTTAGCCAGCACCGAAAAAGGTAAATATCTAAAACAAGAAAAATAAAACAATAATTAATATTTAATAATCATTATTTTAGGTACTAAAAGATACACAATTGAAATTCCAAAACTGCCATGTACGTTCACGGGATCAGGCGATTTATTCGCATCTGTATTTCTTGGATGGAGTTATAAAACGAATTATGACATCAAAACGAGTTTGGAAAAAACAATCGCAACTTTGCAAGCAGTTTTAAAAAGAACTGCAGGATATGTTGAAGGTATATTTAAAAAAAAACATGTAGGTGATTCATTTAATGAATTAAATATATTTCTAGTAAACGGTGCTACCCCAAGGAATTTAGAATTAAAATTGATACAAAGTAAAAATGATATTGAAAATCCTCAGGTGATTATTAATGCTAAGTGCCTTTAATACAGATAATAATAACAAATGTATCAATAATATTATATCACACTTAACTAACGTGAATGTCTTCCACTTAACAAAATATGCTTAGAACAAAATACTTAAAAATGTATTTTTTTTATTTTTAAAATGTTTTTTGTTAATTATAAAGCTAAGTATATAAATAAATGTTATATATATATATGAGCTATATTCATTTATTTGGAATATATTTCAATGTTTTCACCCCTCTTTCTTGGAATAATTATATTACTTAAATGGGGCAACTTATAATTATTGCCGCCATTAGGCCTGTTTGGTTCAATAGTTCTGTAGTTCAGAATTCTTGAGCCAAAATTCATTTTCATAATTTCTATCATTCACTGACGATGTTATAGGAAAACATTGTGCAGTGTATCAAAACTCAGTTCATTAAAAGCGTCATTAACAGAATGACTTCCTGAGCAGATATTTGAAGCAGCAGTTTGGTACTACAGCCCGAATGACTTTAAAAACAGGGATCTAGCACATTGGTGTTGAGAGTGTTAAGGTCCACTATGTTCGTAATGTTTTCACGAAGATCGCGAGCAGTTCGTGCACCATTTCCAAGAATTTTTTTTAACTTCAAAGAATTTATTCCCAAACAAGAGATTTACTTAGGTCATTTGCCCACGGAGCTACTAAAAGAGAACTGATCGTTGACGCAAATTACAAACCAATTACTTTAAATCACTTCCTATGTCTGTGATTCGTGGAAATTAATTTGTAGCTCGCATGTTGGGTAGTCTAGTGATTTCAGTTTCCAGTTCCAAGTGATCCAGCAAGATGAATGACCAACACTTAAACCTTATGGTGGTGGCGGAAATGGAAAATCGTCCGATTTTATATAATTTTCAGCTTCCAGGCTACTCAAATAAGATGTAACAGAGAAGCTGTGGGCCGAGATCAGCAACGTGGTAAGATTGACAACTATTGTGGCTTCATACCACAATATCTGATATCATTACCAGTATCACTAGTAACCTCATGTTGCGTATTTCCACTGCCAGGGCAAAAAAGCTTGCGAGTTAAGGAAATAGTTGGTTAAATAGTCTCTGAGATATGCTACACGAGAGTTGTTATGTATGATCAGATGCTATGATAGGGGCTGCACCATGACATGGTTATCTACCGCAACAGTTGTACCACTTGGCATGTAGGGGAGTCCTTCCCGTCTGCACCCATGACTGAACTAAACAAACAGGTTTTGATCGCTGATGAAACCTAGTAGCTTCGTGTGTTGAGCCTGGTCACATTGAATGCATTGGCATCAAATTTCCACTGTTCACGTGATAAAGTTGAGAGAAAGATGAAAAACTCTGGAATGGAAACAGAAGACATCTATAGAGACACGTGGTTTGCTTTTAAGGCCCTTTGTAATCCAATTTTAATGCAACCTCACCGCAAGTCTTTCATGTGGCGGAATTCTATTTCTGTAGTTAGTATCTTCTATTGAAATTTTTGGATCCGATTAAATTAAGTAAATATTCAAAATCTGTTCTGGATATACGACAAAAGTTTTCTAAATCCACTTCCATCTTCTATTCTTAAATCTGCCTTTTAGTTAGTACTACTGCAAAGCGTTGTATTTTGAAAAAGTCGTCTTTGCCAATAGCGACGACGTTGTTGCCGTTTAGATAGAGTACTAATAACAATAAAGGAAGCACAGGCAAGAATTTAATCCGTTTCGTCAAAACTTGACTTTCTCTCATGAAATACAGAAACGAACTTGAACATTTTGACGAGCAAACATTTCGTAAACGTTTTTATGTATGTAGCCGTTAACATCCAACTGTTCGCGATATATTCTTGAGTTCTCTACAAACGGATGGTGTAACTGGCTGAACTACACCCCTTCAGAAGGTATCACATTTATGAGTGTATTATTATGTCTTCAATATCAAATTTGATTTAGCTTTCTCCGATATAGAATACCGAGCGGCTACATCTTTTACTGTCCATGTTTAAGTTTACCATTTACACCTGCTTCTAGCAAACCATAAAACACACTTTGAAACGTTTCCTGCTTCACATTATGCTTTGGAAACTTCTCAATGACTCATTTTGTATTGGTATTACAAATAACTACTCAAAAATTGAGCTGACGTTCTTAAACTTTTGACAACTACAAATGTCAAATTTGACGTATGTAAGTTAAATGATAAATTTCTTATTTGTTTTCTCGCCTATAACTTTGTAATATTTATATTTCCTTGTATTCTTTTCAGTAATTTCGCTTAAAGTTCTTTTTGCGTGGAATTTCAAGCTAAAACCGCTGTGATGTGAATTATAGGTATTCTCAAGGTCATATATTTGGACTTTTTGATTTCCTTCTGTCATAAATTCTCGATATAGTGCTTCTACTTGGAGGACATTTCCAATTTGATTTTATGATTATAAAATTTTGTAGTTTTTCTTCTCACCAACCTATTCGTTTTTTAAAACGTTTCCAACTATGAGGTTTAAAGTAAACCGTTAAACTGAAATTTGCGGATATCGATATCATGTAGTGGTACTTAGTTATCTATGGCTGCTTTTTCTTGGTATGTTCCTTTTTTTTCTCAATAATTTTCATCTATACTCTTTGTGACTGTGGTTATCTCTATGATCACATACAGAGCGACAGCCTAGTATAGGAAAGCCCGACAGACTTCAGTTATCAGTAAACTTTCACGAATTGCATACCTATAGAGAAAGTGGCTAGAACTACCATTTACAGGTTTAAGCAATATGCTCAAAACTGCTTCGACATGTCCTACCAATGGGCTGCGGAAAACACTATAAGCACTGATATTGTGCTACCAATGCCGTCAGATGAGCTAGCACGAGAGAGCAGCACTAAAGCGTTTGTAAGGCCAGAGCCAGCAGTTGATATATAATTTGCGATGGCCAAACATAGGATTGGACTGTGGGTTGAAGAGAGACTTCGCCTACTATGGACCAGTTCTCCTGAAATAATACACAAAGAAATGCGACACAATTAATAAAGAATCTTTTATTTGAACCATTTTTAAGTTATTGGCTATATTCCAGACATTTGACACACCCTGTATAATTTATGTAATGTAATATGTTAGCAGCGATGGATTCTTTCAAGAAATACATTAAGTTGAGTTTAGTAACATACATTAATAATTTTAGAGTGTATTTGAGATACTTGGCAGAACGTGGAACTAACTTTATTGCAATAAATTACATTTAATCTAACATTGGCAAGAAAATAATGCCCTAGACATCTTACACTAGTAGTAGTCAAAAGAATAAATTATTGTTATTCCGAAATCTCAAAAAATCCAAATTAAACCCGCATAAAGTATAGACATAAGAATAATACCATAAACAGTATGTCGGAAAAGCCTGGTTATCAGAAACTTATAACCTTGATGGTTAAGAGAACTACATTATAATTGATTGTAGAATCAGTTCAGAATCTAATTAACAGAATTATCATTTAAAAGAATCTTGTTAATTCTATTACATAACAAATAAAACAAAAGAAAAGATCACAATCACTCTGTATTTACACATGTAACATTTATATTTATACAATAAATAAAAAGTATGTATAAAAATATAATCACATCTCAATAAGTTATAAATTTTAAGTTAATTCTTATATTCTAATTAAGATACAATTCAATACTTTCTAAGAAATTGTTGGAAATACACACAAGAAGTATAAATTTCGTTAAAATCAAATAAAATTATAATAAACTTAAAAACAATTTCTTAGATTCCATATTTTGAGGTTATGTTTACTTAAAAAAAGATTAATTTAACTAATTAATGAATTAAGTAATTATTAAATTCAGTCTATTGTTATAATAAAAAGTTGTGTATGGTGATATAGGAAAATAATATCACAAATAATATAGTTTTTTTTTAAATACTGAGCAAATACGTGTCGTTGAATCAATTTCAATTTCAAAGCTGCTTTAAAGGTTTTATTTTAAAATAAAACAATAACATTTATACCACATAAAATTGGTGACTCCTTTATTTAAACATTTAGAATTACAGTTCACAATTTTATTATAATTACAATTACTACATTTACTTACAGAAAGAGACGACTTAAACTAATAATAAAAAAATAAAACAACTTCAAAAAATGTAATTTAACTAAAATGTTCAATTATTTTAAAAAGAAAACCTTTAAAATAGCTTCTTTTTTTCTTAATTCTTAATTTTCTCTTAACAAAATTATTTATTCAATCATATTAATTAGCTACTTAATAGGAGTAGAAGAAAAACCGTTTTTTTTTTTTCGTTTTATTTAACTTGTGCCAGACCTTTTCTTGATGACAAAATTACTGAGTGCTTGGGCTATCAGTTCCGCTGCCGCTGTTATTCGCGGATTCCCTAGCGGTTAACAAACGATCTCTTTTAGTGCTCTTCGACAAACTCGCTATTTCCTTCAATAACGTTTGTATCCGGTAATTCAACCCGTCCACTTTATTATCATGATCCTTTTCCAATAATTTGATCTTGTTCCGAAATTCCGTTTCAAATGTAAAATGTTTCGCCTTCAATTCAGTTATCTGTAAGAAAATTAAGCATTCGGACTTGAAACATAACTACTTTATGTCTCGCCTTTAAAATAATATAAAAACCAGCAAAAAAGAAATAAAGAAAATTTTTACGAAACAAATTTTGTTCTCACCTGTTTATCTTTATTCAGTAATAAACCATCCTTTTGATTTAGTTGTTTCTGTAAACTTGCGATCTGTTCTTTGAGTTGAGTCATAGCAACCATGTGATCAGAACTATTGGGATCAACATCAGCTCGAATCAAACCAGGTCCCGTATTATTACGGGGTAGTTTTGCTGAGGGACCGTTGTCTGCGTCAGTTGGTGGCATTTTTGTCACGTCTATTCGTTGAGGTCGTTTACTGTGACTTCTTACTCTATAATCGGGAAAACTTTGTCGTGGCTTTGATTGAAGAAATCATTAAATTCAGATTTTCCAATCAAAATTAATATTTGAGAATAGAGTGTTGTTATTAAAAAAGTAGAGTTAAAATTTTTTTTGTATGTAGTTTACTAATTAGTTAAGTGATATATCGGATATGTACTGAATGATAGATAGCTATTTTTAAGTATAATTTTATGCAAAGAATTTTCTAGCATTGTGCAAAATTAACCATTTCTTAAGATAACAAAATGAAATTCATATTTGGTTTAAGAAGGAATGATGATGACTGCACCATGTTCAAAGAAATCATCTCCAACCAGCCAAATATAACGAGAAGGCTCTTTCTGAATGTGAGGAGAATTAACCCAAGAACAAAATGGTGGTAAAACAGAAAGTGAAAGAAAAGAAGAGGACTTGGAAGAGGTATTTATAAATGAAAAGAGAAGAAGAGCTACAAAAACGGGAGGAACAAAACAAGATAAGTAGTATGGGAAGAAATAGAGGGAAAATTTAAAGACAACACAAACAATAAGAGTTCTGGACGACAATATCTAAGAGGAAAATATGGCAAAATAGTATGGTGAATAAATGATAAGCACGGAAATATGGTGACAGAGGAAAGCAAAATACTGGACACCTGGAGTAAATACTTATTACGAAGATAAGTCTAAGGCAGGAAGAATAAGACCCAAGAGGGGAAGTACAATACAAGAACCTCTGGAAATGGAGAAGGAATAAGCAATAACCATAAAAGAAGAAAATTTAAAAGCGGCCGGAAAGAACGAAATCACCTACAAGATGGTCAAATACGGAGGGAGAAAGAAATGTGGAAATGGATTCAAAGAATATATCAGCAGGGGTGGGATGAAGAAGTCATATCTAAAGAAAAAGGAGGCCTGTCATCATGCATCCAGAAGATATACTCGAGGATAATCCAGGCAAGGATCAGACGTTGCATAAATAAAGAACTACAGGAGGAAGAAGCGGCATTCCGGAAAAATAGAGAAACCCAAGATCACATATACATAATTAAAGCCTGGAATTTTTAGATCTGCGTGCAGCGTTCGGTAGTATACCAAAGAAAACCATTTGGAAAGGCCAATTGCCCAGCCAAGTTGATCAAAGTCACAACAACGTTATACAACAGGAAGAATGGTGTCTAAAAGTTTCAATATGGAAAAGGAATCAAACAGAGACCTAAAACTGGAAGAAGTAAACCTCCAAAGTCATGTGTATGAGGATGACATAGTATTACTGGCGGACAAAGTCAAGAAGTTACAAGTTGCAGTCAGCAAATGGATTATCAATGTATATACAGGATGGTTCAAATTCAATGTCCGAATAGGCTAACTCGGAAACTGTAAGAGTTAGAAATAAAGTAGCTTACATGTCATGATCTCACTGTTAATGCCGAAAACCTCAAAGCGCTATCGTCTTTTGTTTTTCCCCTAGAGGGCAAAATTGAAAATATCGTAAAACCAACAAGTGCAATTATCTTGGTTATTATTATAGGTGGAATATTATAACTAAGACATTATATGGACACTTTTTTACAGAGAATTCCATGACATAGTCAAAAAAAAATTTTCGGTTTTAGATTTTGAAATATGATGACAATTTTCGTTTTTTTAAATAGAAACAACCACTGATTATTCGCTTATTAAATTCGTTATTTTTTTCTGATTACAAAAATATAGGGTTTGACAGGTCTATTTCTTATTGTTTTAGATAAAGCTTTTTAGTGTTGTCAAAGAAATAAAATTTACAGTTTCCTGTAAATTATAAATAAAAAACATATTTCTGATATCTGAAACAAATTCACTTGTTGAACTATTTAGTTTATATTTGTTTTACACAAAAGTTGGAATAGATTGCATTATTTCACATTTTTTATTAATATTTAATATTATTATTAAATGACTTAATAAATTATTGATAGATGGCGCTCATATATTTTTTTTTTGAANTCAAATAAACAGCTACATTTTTTTATATTCAAAAATTTTCTGAAGTGTCAAATTAAAAATCCTGTTTTTTAAAACGTGTTACGAAAAGTTTAACATATTAGAATGTTACTTATTAGAAAATAAAGTACATTTTATATAAATTTTTAGTAGAATAATTTTTAGTTATAGTACGTAATTTACAGGAAACTGTAAATTTAATTTCTTTGACGACACTAAAAAAAAAGTTTATTTTTAGCTTTATTCTAAAACAATAAGAAATAGACCTATTTAACTACATATTTTTATAATTAGAAAAAAATAACGAATTTAATAAGCGAATAATAGTGGTTGTCATCATATCTCAAAATCTAAAACCGAATTTTTGAACCACCCTGTACAAAGTGCAGGAATGAAAATGAACGCAAAGAAAAGTAAAATAATGCAACAAAGCAAACAAATCGATTATCGAATAGATTAGAGGTAGTAAATCACTACGAATACCTGGAGGTAGTGATGAGCAACGTGACAATAGATCAAAAAATAAGAAATAGAACGACCAAAGCAACAAAAGTGTATTACCAGATTATGATAATATTGATAAATAAAAAAGAGTTGAGTAAAGAAACAAAGACACATCTGTACAAAGCAGCACATGTGCCAACATTTATAAATGGAGCGGAAACCAGGCGAATGCAGATAAGCACAAAAACAAAGTAACAGCTGCAGAATTGAGCTACCTAAACCGAATAATAGGCACGACCAGAAAAGATAGAGTCAAAAATACAACCACAAAAGAGGAACACGGGATACATTTTTAGTGAAAACTATACAGTTGCAGTGGTACGTGAACTGTATGGATGATAAGAGGCTCACAAAGAAGATGAATGGTGACAAGAGAAGGAAAAGGGGGAGGGAGACCCAGAACGAAGTGGCTGGACAACATCTTGAAGGGGGTGGAACAATGAGGAAGTAAAGAGGATGGCGCTGAATAGGGAAGACTACCCAAAATGGTTCGAGGACCCGACGGCGTAACGTATAAGAGAAAATGTAAGAAGAAGTTAAACATTCTAACTGAAGACTATTATTTGATACATTTTCATTACTGTGAAGAGATAATATTTTTCTTGTATAAACAAGGAAAACATAAAGATCTATAAAACCACCATTTAAAAAAATACCAAACCAAAAAATTATTTTATTTCATTTATCTCTTCAGGATAGCAAATTTGATCAGCTATGAAAAATAATTCTTTATCACGAACCCGATTAGATACGTATTAAGCAAATTGTATCATATCAATAAATAATGCTGAAGACAATTGATGGTTCACTTAATGAGTGAATTTCTATACCTTCTACAAGATTGAGTATATAGGCAGATACAAAAAATGATATATGTAGATCATTGCTGCCTTTGGAATTAAAAATAAGTATCAAAATTGAGAGACTTAAATCTAGAAATATACTATAGTGGCAAACAAAGCGGTGAAAACAGCACAGAAGAAAACGGTTACTGATAGTCATAGTATAGTCACAATAAAAAATCTTACAGCCCCACTATGTTGTACTCAATTGGATAGAAGATCTTTGCTTTTTCCTTGTAACTCCACTATGTGTATAGATGTCATATAAAAGAAGTCAAAATGATTATTTTGTACAAATTTAACGTTATAATTCATGACAAAATGAAACTTTGTGAATTAGCAAACATTTTATAAAAAGAGCGCTTTCATTAAGCTGAATCATAATTGACAAGCGTCATGGTGCTATTGCAGAGATGGAAATATTTAGTTTCAAGTGGTTGAAAAAAGAAGTTGGGGAACAAGTTAAAGATGAAAAGTGGACCATAACGTTGGTTCAATCGATTTTAAACTTGTTGACATTGGCACAGTACTGTTTGGAGTAGAAAAGTGACTAAACGGGAGAGAGTCTGCGATTTATTTTTCTGAAACAAAAACAAGCCAAACAACAATGTATGGGAAGAAAAAAGTCCTGGTTTCAACGCTTCCACCAATGACGATTAATTTGGATGGTTAGTACAAATGCTGCTGGTGACTTTTTAAACCCATTCTAAACTCAATTAATTCATGATTCCGAAAAGCCAGTGATGAGCAACCCAATTTCAACTAATATTTGTTGAAGCTACAACAGTTTCCATTTAATGACATGGTTCTTGTCGACAATAACAAATTAAAAATTATTAATAAATTAATTAATAATTCATTTGCGCATTTGAATGGTGTCATAGGCTAAAATGATTAGATTTTTGTTTAATACTTCTGGAGGCAGTTCACTACTTTATTTTATTATTTGAGGAATTTCCCAAAAAAAAAGGGTTGTATAGTTTGAAGAAAATACTCCGTACAGTTTTTTTAAGATGAAACGGAAACTACGACAGGAGAACGTTTGTGATATAAGGAAAGATGTTAAAATATGATATCAAAATAATCTATCAATAAGAATTTCTATATATGACATTGATGAGTTTGATGACCCAGGGTCCCTATAAAATTTATCTTTTATTGTATTTAATTTCAATTAAATTTAATAATAATTATTCTGCATATATATAAAATCATAAAGTGAATTTCGTCAGTCTAAATAACAAAAATCAAACGTTAAATTGACACAAATTGATTTCAGAACATTATATATTATATCAAAATTCCCTGTAAATGTTGCCAACTTTACTACAACTTGACAGGTATTATAGAAAAAAAAAACATGAATTTTCAAACTTCAAAACACTATAGGTAGGTACTTCTAACTTGATAAATGTTATTGTGAACGTCAGAATAACATTTCAAATGTATTGTCATTTGAGTATCAGTTTTAGATTTGAACCATTTTAAATTTTTAAATATCTTTTGTCAAGTTAGAATCACTTTGACGTTTAAAACGTCAACCCTCAATTTAAAAGTTTCATTTTTATACATGTGTTACGCTAAATGTCATATTTCAAATTGTAAATGTTAATCTGACGTTTAAGCAGTTAACATTTGAAGATTTTAACAATGAAGTATCAGTTTGAATTTTGAACCATTTTGTCGTTTTAATTGTCATACATATTTCAGTAGGAAATGTCATTTTAACGTTTAAAATGTTATGTCAGGTTGCACTTTGTATTTTTTTCTATAATACCTGTCAAATTGTCGTAAAATTGGCAAGATTAACAGGGAATTTTGTTATATCATGTTTTCGTATCAATTTGTGTCAAACTATTCAAGATAAATTTATTAGGGACCCTAGGCAATACCAACAGAAGCCCTTAGAAATTTGACTTAAATTTGATTTTATACTGTAGAAGTATTGGGATGCATAAAGTGTGTCATAAAGTTGTCATTTCAAGTTAGTGCTGTTCATTTGACGTTTAAAGTATTATTTTGACGTTTAATTATTTGAGGTTTGAACCATATTGGCGTTTTAAATGTCATATACACATGACATTTAAATTAAATACATGACATTAATTCCAAGCAAATTCACATACAAATTATAAATACAGGTCGCTGATATGTATGGAAACGGTCGGTTATCTAATGAAGTAAAATAGCTAGCGAAAAATGTTAAGATACAAAAGATTTAGTGTTTTTTCAAATCTATCACAATAAAAACAAATTAAGTATACAGGATTAGTCAAAAAGTCATAAAATTCATGTAGCACATTAACTTAAACTTAAGCAATTTCCAGATATCAAACTTTTAAAAATTTACGAATTTATCTAATTAGTTCTGTAATTTATTTGCGCACAAATTATTTTTGTATTTTTGACATGTGTTATGTCATTGCGTTGCTATGGAAATGAGAAACTTTCACAGGTAACTTGATGAACTATGAACATAATTGTCTAAATTATTTTTGTGTAATTTATAACCGATTTTCAAAGTTCAATATCTCGAAAACAGTTAAGTTTAGGTTTATAATGTGCAACATGAAGTTTGTTTACAATTTGAAGATGAACCGCAATATGGAATAATATACAGGATGTTCCATTAAAGAAACTTTATTTCGTCATAACTTTTTCACTGACCCTGTATACTTAATTTGTTTTTAATGTAAAAGATTTTAAAAAACACTAAAACTTTTGTATCTTAACATTCTTTGCTAGTTATCTTACTTTAGGAAATAAAAGACCGTTTCCATACATATTAGCGACCTGTATAGTATCGCAAGCGAAAGTAAGACATTTCAAACGTCAAAATGGAAATTCAAACTGACAGTTCAACTTGACATTTGAAGTGTCAAAATGATACTTCTAGCTTGGGAAATGACATTTTTATCTAAACTATGATATTGTAGCTGTCAAAACGGTGCCATTAATTACATATACTGTTTTCTTTTCTATAATATTTGTCAAATTATTGTAGATATCACTTTTAAATGTCAAGATTCCTTTCCAAAACAACATTAAATATAGGGCAAAATGATAAAATGCATAAAATTAAGAATCCTACAATAATTCCATTAGGATATACAGTATGACCCATTTAAAAGCGAAACACACTCATAAAATGTGTATTTATTTTCCGATTTTGTCAATTTTTTTGGGTAAAACTTAGAAAAGCATGTTAGGGATGTTTTTACAAAAAGTCTGATTATACCACTGGATTAGGCACTCTTTGAAATGGGTTACTATTATTATTATCAAAATAATGAACGGTATTTGTAGACTCCTAGAGGAGTATTCAAGCCACACAAATTAGTCAAGCACCCTTTAAATATTCTCAATACAATGTAATACAGTGTTCTGAGATATCCTTAAAGATTGCTTGAAAGAATGACTCTGAATACCACTCTAAATCAGTCCAAAAGTGAACAGGTAGAAAGATGTTTCCAATTAATATTAAAATGACATTTCAAAGCATAAAATGACACAAAAAAAATTTTAACTCAAAAAGTAATACACTCTAAAACCTACGTTTTACTTTTGAAATTCAAAAATTAAAATAAAATCGGTTATTAAGTCAGAATCAAATCAGAATCTAAACCAAAAAGTCTTAATTCTCATTAGAAAGTAATTTTAATTTAATTTTTTTCTTTTTATATGGTAACTAAATGAATTAGTTTTAAAATCCCTTATTATTTAAACCTGGGTAGTTTCTATTAATATAAAAATACTGTTGCAACACTCACAATGTGTATAAAAACACATTCAACAAACTCACTTTCCATCTTTATGTTTGTTCTGTCGTAACTGCGACATTTTAATCATACGACGATCGGATTCACTCTGCTTAGTTTTGGCCAGGGCTCTCTTGAACGATAGGGTGCAGAGCCAGCACAATAACTTGCCATCGACCTAGAAGAAAGAAATCGTTGCAAGAAGGTTCAGTGGTGCTGAGATCTCCAGTTCTGCCATATAATTACCTTTTTGTCATCGTCGTGACGATCGAAGGCGCACTTCTGTTTACACTGTTCACAGTTGACGGGGGGTCCATACTTGATCTCCGAGTTAGTGCACCTCTGGCACTTGTTGCCTATGAATGCGGCTATAATATTACAATATTCGCAGGCGGTAGGTTTGCCGTGAGCCTTAACGTTTTGCTCGCACTTTTTACAAATAGTACTCGTGCTTCCTTTCGATGTCTGTTGAAATTCCGAACGACAATACGTGCACTTCACCATAGGGAATGCGCCCCTACATTCCTGAGCGGAAAAATCACACATAAAAGTGAGCGGGAAACGAAGTGAACTCGACAACGAAACATTTTCCGTACCGAAAAATAATTCAACGTACGAATTTATTATTAAATATATCTTTTAAAATTTTTATGACGTGACGTACATGACAGACGATCTAACGACGTCTAACCTTACTTACAATCTACTAAAAAAACGGACTTACTTTACACAATTGCTGGCCGGCCGATAATTCCTCGAATGGATGTCTGGAAAAGCATTTAGAACACGCGAACAATGGAGCACTCATTACCGATTTTTTATTAACTTTATACAATGAAATACACGAACAAAATGACCCGAAAATATTTGACACTTGTGAAAGGTACAATTTCTAACCCGTAAACATGGCAGATCAAATAATACCAACATAAATTGATAAAAAAATAAAAACCACCATAAAAGACATTAACAAAATTTAAATAAATAAATGTAATTATCAAATAGTTTAATAAGAAAACATAACTAAATCATACAATTTTCCTATATATGTAATTATTTTAATTTTAAATGATAATACTTAATACATTTATTTATTTAACTTATTGATTTAATTTAGGTTGACATTTCTACAATAATCAAACTTTAACATACAAAAATTGTTTTTATTCTTTTAAAAGCAAATAGAAGAGCAGAACAATTATTTATACTAAACTATTTCTTCCATTTGCAACAAATCGCAATTTAAATCTTAACATCAACGCCAACTTGTAAATGATGATCCCCTAAAAATAAACCATGTTAGAAATAAATTTTAAACAAATTTAATATTCAACTAACCCAGTAAATGAAGGCTGTTGCATATTTTCTACAGGAGCAGCTTGTTGCGCAACACTTCCAAATCCTATAGTTTGTTGATTAGCTAAATTTGCAAAAGTAGAACTTTGTTGTTGTGGTGCAGCTCCGAAACCTTCGTTGCTACCAAAAACTCGATTAGGACTTCCGAATGCAGGTGCATTTCCAAAAGCAGCTCCTCCGAAAGATGCAGGTGATCCGAATCCTGTGGGTTGCGCTCCGAATGCGGATGGAGAACCGAAAGCTGGTTTTTGGAAAGTTGTGGGAGACCCAAACCCGCTTTGACTAACGGTTTGAGTGCTTGCCCCCCCAGAAAATGGCCCCGCCGATTGATTTGCATTACCAAAAGTATTGCTAAACGAAGATCCAAACGCTGAAGGTTGAGAGAAAGTGGGGGCGGCACCGAATGTGGCTGGCGCTCCAAATGCTGGTGTGGATTTATTAAAAAGAGAACCTCCAAAAACGGGTGTAGTTGATGTCGTTGGAGGTTCAAATACGTTGGTAGATGTTCCTCCAAATTGCTCCTTATCGGCTGTTCGAAACGTATTAAAAGATGAGCCACCAAACACAGATGACGATGTTGCCGGAGTTGGGTTCGCACCCGTACTCAGATTTCCAAAATTTAAATTATCCGACGTACCAAAATTTGATTTACCAAAGACATTATTTGTTGTGTTTCCACCAAAAACGTTAGAAGCTCCAAACGGAGACGATGATCCAAATGCAGATGAAGTAGTGGGAGTTGATCCAAATGGAGAAGATCCACCAAAAACACTATTTGTCGAAGACTTAAATATAGAATTACTACCAAATGAGCTTTGACCAAAAACTGATGGTGTTGATGTTACCGCTTGGCCAAAAACTGATGGTGTTGATGTTACTGCTTGACCAAAAACTGAAGACGTTGAGGTTATAGGTTGACCAAAAACAGAAGTAGTTGACGTTGTTGGTTGCCCAAAAACAGAAGAAGTTGATGTTGTTGGTTGCCCAAAAACAGAAGAAGTTGACGTTGTTGGTTGCCCAAAAACAGAAGAAGTTGACGTTGTTGGTTGCCCAAAAACAGAAGAAGTTGACGTTGTTGGTTGCCCAAAAACAGAAGATGTTGACGTTGTCGGTTGCCCAAAAACGGAAGAAGTTGACGTTGTCGGTTGTTCAAAAATAGAAGTAGTAGAGGTTGTAGGTTGACCAAAAATAGAAGAAGATGATGTCGGTTGACCAAATATCGAAGCAGTAGTTGTACCACCAAATAAAGTATTAGGTTGACCGAACGTGGGTTGTTGTTGAGATTGGCCAAACACTGTAGACGTAGTTGATGCTGCACCAAAAGCGGGGTTTGCTACTTTTCCAAAATCAGATGTAGGTGTAGAACTGAAAATACTAGAAGGTGAAGTTTTCTGTTGGAAAACATTGGATTGCCCAAAAACGCTTTGCACAGAAGTTGTTTGACCAAAAGCGCTTGGCGTAGATACTGTCTGTCCAAAAACGCTTGTCGGAGAAGTTGAAGTTATAGTTTGGGCAAAAACGCTAGGTGGTACTGTAGTTGCTTGTCCAAACACACTTGGAGTTGAACTAACTTGAGTTTGACCAAAAACACTTGACGTTGATGTTTGAGTTAACGCCGTTGATCCAAAACCAATCGAAGTACTAGGAGTAGTTTGTCCAAAAGCAGGTATAGTTGTTGAAGGTGGAGGAGTAATCTGCTCGAAACTAGTTGGTGCAGAAATGGCTTGCCCAAAAATAGAAGTAGTACTTGAAACTGATGGCGCAGGACTACCTGTAGTCGGGGTTTGTCCAAAAGATGGTGATGTGGCCGATTCAAATATAGTTGGGGCTTGGTCCGCAACTGCCGGAGTTGTACCAGTAGTTTGTCCAAAAGGTGTTTCTCCAGCAACATTAGTGAATTTAAAACTTGATGTGATTGCTGTATTTGAAAATATCGAAGGGGTCTTGTTTGCAGTGGTAGCTTGTGTATTTTGGACAAAATTTGAAGCAGTTTTTGCAAATATTGATTGTCCTTCTGCAACTGGTTGACTGAAAATTGAAGGTTTTTGACCAAATATTGAAGTTGTTGTAGTCACTCCAAACATTGGGGTTGACACTGTAGTTGCTGTAGACGTTGTAGTGGTTGCTGACATAACTGAAGTTGTAGTACTTGGTGTTGTAGTTGCTGAATCTGTTGGGACAACTGGAGAGGTAGTTGGGAATGTTGATTGGATTGATTGGACAATTGGAGGGGGTTTTGTTGTTGAAACAGGTACTGATACTGAAGAAGTAATTGTAGTACTACCAAAAGTTAAGCCAGTAGTGGTTGATTGTCTAAAAGTAGGTATATTAATTATAGGCGTGGGTGGTGTTTGAGGTGTTGTTTGCTCTAATTTTGAAGTAGGAAATAGACTTGATTGTACCGTAACATTACTTGAAGTTGGTTTTGTTGAAACTATACTTGCTTTTTCTTGATTAGTACTTGTAACAACCCAAGTACTTGGTGAAGTAAACATTTTTGTTTCTGATTGTGTTGTTGAAACGGTTGTTGTAAAACCTTGATTAAATAAACTTGGAGCGGTTTTTGAAACATTTTGTGTGAAAGTTGTTTTTAAATCGTTGCCGCTTTGCGGTGTGTTCCCAAAACTAGGTGGTTTGTTAACATCCGGAGATGAAGGAGTTGATTTATCACCAAATAATGATTTAGATAAATTCCCACTAAAGGGAGAACTCTCAGAAGTCGTTTTCAATCCTTGTCCAAAAAATGAAAAAGGTTTGGTATTATCCCAAGTTGTAGCTTCTGGTGTTTTAGACTCAATTGTAGTTGATGGTGTTTTATTTTCAGGTATTTTATTTGTTAGGAGAGTGAAAGGTTGGGGTGAAGCTCCAAATTGCGGGAAAGTACTCGATTTCGATATAGCATTCGTATTTGCATCTACATTTCCACTAGAAGATTTGGGGATCATGAAGTTTGTATTTTGTGATACCAAATTAAACGTTGGTGGTTTAGAAACGGTTTCCCCAACAGGTTTTTGCCAGTTCTGTTGCTTAGTAGAAATGTTTTGATCTAAATTACCAAACAAATTATTCTTTGTGTTTACCATTGGCACAAATGCAGAAGTCTTTACATCACCTCCAACATTTTGTTGTTCTTGTTTATTAAATAAATTAACAACAGCTGGACTTGACACATTTTCTTTTTCTTGGGTTACTTTTACTAAAGGTGTTGATTGTACGAAATCGATATGTTTTTTTACTTCACCTTGATTTTTCTTTGGCGCTATTGGAGAAAAAGGAATCACGCCTAATCCAGACATTTGCATAAAACTGTTTAATTGCGGTTTTCGCACAACAACATGTGAAACATTTCCATTTTGAAAACAAGCTTTCAATTTATCCTCACGTTCCTTCGTCAATTTCCGCTGTTTTTTAAACACTTTTTCGTAACGTAATTCCATCAAATCTTTTGGCTCCATGTGTAAACTTTTTAGTTGCTCCTCAAGCGGTTCTGTATTATCCAAACTAACCAATAAACGAGGTGCGTTTAAACTGCGTAATTTCGCCCGAATCCTCATTGAGATGTCTTTAAGAATATAAATCTGTTTTTGTAACGTAGCATTTTGCTTTACCATCACTTGATAAATAGATTCAATGCTTAAAGATTTTGTGTTAATTTTTCTTTTGCAAGATGATTGAAAAGCGTCCCATTGGTCGTCCAAAGCCGAATTAGCTTGCATTAATTGCGACTCTAAATAATAAATCATGCGGCGAATTTCGTCTAATTTCCTTTCAGACGCTGCGTCTAAAGGTTGAAGTGCAAGCAATGATTTTAAAGCTGGATCTTTATAAGTTGCGTACCTGGATCTTGCTTCTTCATACCACACCCAAGTTTGAATCATATTTTGTTTTAAAGCATGAATCTCAGCTGCTTGAGTTGAACTAGTTTCATCCATTTCTTTTAAAAAATCTTGTAAGGCTGTAGCCCCTTCAATGAAACTCACAGTTTCAGAGTCAGCCCCAAAATCAATCTTAATATTACTTCCTGCCATTAACACTTTGATTTCCATTTCTAAATTAATACATTCTTCTTTCATCATTTGGGCAAGTAATTTTTCCGTTTCCTCATTTATGGCGGGTATTCCAGCTGGGGGAGTTTTGATACCAGATGTTTCTTTTGGTTCCACTGCACTCACAACTGTTTTAGGACCAAAGGCTTTTTGAAGATTTTCTTGGGTAGAATCAACTTTTTGTGATTCAACAACTGGTTGAGGTTGAGTACCAAAAATATTTTGTGTAATGGGTTTGTTAAAAAATGTTGTTGTGGGAGGTTGTGGCGCTTTTTGGGGGACTAATGTTGTTTGAGGAGGAGTAAAAGCCCATGAAGGTTGAGATGGCGCTTTCGTAGTCATACCAAATAGCGCATTTTGTTGTTGCAAACCAGGGGTTGTTTGAGGCTGAAAAATATAATCATTTTTATTTAAACATAACCAAGATTTTCCATTTAGTATATTAAAAACTTACCATTGTTTGTGGAGTAATCGGTTTTTGAATGTTTTCTTGAACATTTTCGGCTTTTTTGATTTCAATAACAGGTGTTATAATTGTTTGAGGTTGTGCACCTAAAATATTTTGAACGCCAGTAGCAGGCTTATTAAAAAATGTAGGTGTTTGGGCCGTTTTTTGAGTCGCAATTGATACTGGAGAAGTAAGATTGCCCCATGCAGGTGGAGTTGAAGCTCCAAAAGCGGGAATTTTTGCCTGTTGTTGTTGTTGTAATCCAATTTGAGCCTAAAAAAATTTTAATCCTAAATATATTCTGAATAAAAATGCTTGTTCTCACCACAGGCGTTGGTTTTACAAGGTTTGTTGATGTTGTTTGAATACGAACACTTTCATTATCTCCAATTGTAAAGTGAACCAATCCACTAAGATCAGTTAAAGGTTCCGGTGGTGTACATAATTTAGGTACCCCTTCTTTCAAATTAATTATAGAGAAACAGCACAAAACCCCTTGATGAGATAACAAAAACAAATATGGCATTGGTGGTAATTCTCCTTCGCCCCACGGAAGTGGTTTAACTGATGATATATCAAATCCTAATCCAACAGGTAGAGTGTCTTGTTTTATAGCATTTAGAGGAAGTTCAGCTCTAGCTGAATCTGTTAATATCCATTGTGTCCATGAATCTTTATCTAAATGCATCACACCAACTTCCATGCTATTTGAGGATGCCACAAGTAAAATATTCCTAATAAAATAAATTATTTAAGTCACACATACACCTTAAATAAACATATTTAATTACCAAAGAGGTTGTTGTAACATATAAAATTGATGTGGTCTAGAGTTGCCATAACTATAACAAACATCATCATAATTTGTATATGTTGTTTCACCAGCTTTAGGAGCATCAACAACAATTAAACTCATTTGTACATCTTCTCCTACAGTTTTATAAACACCAATAAATTGATAATTTGAAATCCATTGTAAGCTTATTGGTTGTGGATTTCCATTAATTGGGGGTGGATTAATACTTTTTGCTACTTGCAAATCGAGTTTGTATTGTGTTAATTTGCCATTTGCAGTTCCAACTACAAGTTGTTTCCCTTTGGGGCTCCAACATGAACATGTGCAACCTGTTGTTTTTGGTAATTCTTTGATTTCAATACCATTTTCTTTAACATCATATAAACCTAAACTTCCATCATCTTTACAAACTGCTAACATTGACGGCACACCTGGATTCCAACATATATCAAGAATGTTTACTCCTGGGGTAGTTGAGAGACGAATTTCTTGCAAAATTACAACATTCTATAATTTAAAATTATATTAATTTTTTATTTTTTCTTTGTAGATGTTTATTTACTTGTTTTAAAAATGAGACTACATCATATATTACGGCTTTAACACAACCATCTTTTTCAACAATAACACAGAGTTTCGTCGAGTCACAATTGACACCAAGATATCTTGGATTACTGGGTAAATTAATGTATCTTCTTTTATAATTACTAACATGACCATCTTTAACAGCGTAATTTTGTATATCTTGAATCTGAATGACTAAAATAAGATAAATAAATAATTATTGGCACAAAAATTTGAGGTTATGTACCTTGAAATTTTGGCGTTGAAGTCCCGACGAATAATAAACCATATCTGCTTGCAGAACAAACTAAACTACACGGTAATTTGAACGTTTCATGGCTATCATTTTCAAAAGCTTTCAATATGCACTGTAATTTGAATTGAAAATCCTATGGGAGGGAATTATGTTAACAAGATATGTTAATTTTACGAAATAGAATATTACCACAACATCTATCGGCGAAGGGGCAGTTTTTGCCATTCTTTATTTAATCAAACTCTGACTTTAAAGTTAATTATGACTACGTCAGGAGAGTGATAAAAAGTATATACAAAAGCCAAAAGCGCGCTTTTATAGGTTAGGTGTTTTGACTTATTCATGTCAAATTAGGCAACCAATTTTACAGCAACTTGTCAAATAAAAATTAAAAGTGAAGTACTTAAAATAAACAATTTCCTATTACATAAACAAATTAAAATAAAGCACCAATATTTAATTGCAAATGAGATTTATTTTTTAAAAAATGTACATTAATAAATTAACGCATTAATGAATTCCTATAAACATAAGCTTAAATCAATAAGTAATACAAAAAAGTATTTAAATTAAAAATTATTAATTTTTTTATTGCATCACCACAAAGTTTTAGCTACTGGTTGAACAATATACATGCTTTTATAGAGGATAATGAGCCACCAGCAACTCTGAAAGCTATAAACATTGTTATTAACAACACCGTATAAATCGGCAGCAACGTGGCAGAGTAAATTTCAAATCTGTTGAGTAACGTGATACAAGAAACAAACATATGGGATAACACCACATAGATCACCTGGAATTTGTTACTGTTATCCAGGGCACTGAAGAAAATCACACCCCAGAAAGTGTGTAATAATATAAAACACAGGCTGGTCGCTGCACTACTCAAAAAAAACATTTCACTGCCTGATTTCAAACCCATTGTACCAGGACCAATTGCGTCTGCTGCAATATTCACCATAGCGAAGATCCCACTGATCATTCCAAATCCTAATCCACTAACGTAAGCCAAAATATGTTTGTTTTCAACTAATTTCGCATCGTCCGATATATTTTGTAAGCCTCTTTCTGCTTGTCGAAGTATTTTGTAAATTAAGTATCTGAACGCTTCTTGAAACATCACGGAAAATACTAGGCCGAATGCTAACTCCTTTCGCAAAGGAATCACCATAAACCACCATAGTGATGATAATAACAGTGATAATAACCAGAAAAACGCTGCAGCTATTAAAATTATAATTCTAACGGGGCAATTTAATACTGTGAACACAAACATAGCTAGGGGTGGACCGAAAGCCAAAAAAGTACATCCAAAAAATTCCATTACAGTCATTTTTGGTGTTTTTTTCTTTCTTTCGAACTTTTATTAATTATTTTGACAGATGACTAACCTATAACGTTGAAAGCGGAACTACCAACGTTAAAATTTAAAATCTTTATACGTTAAAATTAGTTTTTTGAAACAAAAATTATTATCAACTCGTAAATTATAATTAATTTTGTTATTTAAATACAATTAAAAGGCATATAAATTAAAATAATTAATTAAAATTAACGTTTAACATTGAATGAATCACATTTTTGATAATTTTATGTTGGCAATTCTTCTAATGAGTGTTCCTTTATCAACAAAAAAAAAATCACACTACCTAACTTCCTTGTGTATGCAGACACTCCAGATTAATTATGGTGAGATATTTACATAGTTTAACGATTAATTAAACAAACACTTTTCATTTAAGTCCAACAACGTGAATATATGCGAAATTAGCGAAGATGCTAAATCAACTTTAAAAAAATTTAGATTTAGTAAAATTCAAGATACTTGCGCTTTAATTCGTGAGTTACACCCAATTTCTGTTAATTATAAAATTTTTTAATGATATTTCTTTACAGTTAAAGTTGACAGAGAAAAGCATGAAGTAATCGTTGATGAAAAACTTGAAAATACCACAATAGATGAGGTAAAAGAGAGTTTACCAGATCACCAGCCAAGATATGTTATTTTATCCTATAAAAGAGAACATAAAGATGGTAGAATTTCTTATCCGTTGTGTTTCGTGTTTTATACCCCTCGAGATAGTCATGCTGAACTACAAATGATGTACGCTGGTTCTAAAATGGGATTGCAAAGATGTGCTGAAATGAGTAGAACTTATGAGATACGTGAATTGGAAGATTTTACTGAAGAATGGCTACTTGAAAAACTAGGAAGTTAATTTTTTTTTTGGATTGGTTGATGAAAACGTTTATACAAAATAACTTGCCATTACATTTTTATAATTATTATTGACAAAAAAGATAATAAGCTATTTGATATACATTTTATATTATATTTACATTTTTTTAAAATAATATATTTGATGTTTGCATTAGACATTTAGATACATTCGATTCGTTTTAAACACATCAATATTCTAAGATGGGATATTGTTTGTGGGTGAAAGAATTTTCTGACTATTTCAGAAGCAATAAGTATTGTATTATTAATAAGGCTCTAAACTATTAGTTATTTATTAGTGATTATTTTATTCCTAAAAGAAAGTTTTGATTCATATTTTGCCAATTTCATATTAATTTTTAATACCAATTAAACAATTTCTAGTGTTTCTCAAGTTTGTTTTAATCAATTTTTATTAATTTTGTGATGAATTTTATGCATGTTTCAGTTTATCTAGTTGTTAATAAAAAAAAATAAAGATTTTTGCCACAAAAGTTTTGTTTCAATGAAGAATCTTAAATTCCCATTGTACTTGTACCAATAATAGCTTTGTTCCAACAAGCGGTCCGACTCGTCATGTACCCCTCAAATGCAATCGCCCATGTTAAATAATGCAATGAAATCCGCTGAAATGTGACGACATTATTTGACATGTGCGCTTACATTTGAAGAGTCAACGACCAGTCGGCCCACTTGTTGGAACAAGTATATTACTTTAACCCTCCAGCTATAGCGCCTATAACTTCAGGCATTTTGTGGGCAAGTAGTTGACTGTCCATAAGTTTAAAAGTTGTATGTGCCACGAAAACATCATTGTGTTTAATTGTGCTGTTTCGAAATTATTTGTTTTGGGTCTCACAGACTCGGCGCTACCGTTTTTGTCGCAAATTTTGTTATGTTCGGAATTAGTTATTTGTGAACAAGTAAACTTTAACTCAAAAGCGATTGCTTTCATTTCTACACGAATTTGAAGCTTACAAAGAAATTTTGGACTCTAGCGAAGACGACGTTCTGAAGTTCCAGTTATGACGGATTACAGCAAAAACTCAACATCCATTCTAGATTGCTGGAAGCTATTTTGAAGATAGCATGTTTTATCTTATCATTGAAGAAACATACTGCAAAACAATCTATAAAATACAAACGTGAACATAGTTGCAAATCGACTGATATGCTTTAATTTGGTGCTCGATTGAATGTAGGTGAATTATGGGACAGAAACGGAACGGGAATTGAACAGTTTTGGTTGACACTTTCCAAAACAAGGTTTTAGTTTCTTTTATGTGTTCTTCTATTTAGACAATTTTTTTGAATCTTTTGTAATAAACTGCAAGAAAAATTATAAAGTCAGTGATTGTGTTACTGTGGACAAAAAAACTTTGGAATTATCGAATTTTGAGACGGGTTTTCTTTAAATAGAGCCCCAGAGATCTTTGATAGGAGAACTTGGAACTGATTGTATGTCGATATCCTACCGTAAGATGGCATTAGCGTCTATACTGAAATAATTTAATTAAAGTAACAATTTTTTAATGATTAAAATCCAAATACATGAAATTCCTCTTGATTTTGTATTTATTTATCAAGAGGAATTTCATGTATTTGGATTTTAATCATTAAAGAATAACCAATCCTCTTTAATCAATTAATATATTATAGTAACAATTTTATTATTAATATTGGGAATGATGAGAGACAGTAATAACAATTATTACCAGTATCATTCTTTTAATTTAAAAAGTATAGATTCCAATTCGTGTTATATTTTTAAATTTAGTTCAACTTTTAAAAACTTGAAGTTTGTTCAGAATGACAGATGAAAACGTCATTTTAAAGTGATTTTTCGGTAAGAGTATAATAAAGTAATAACGGTATGATTAAATAATTAGATTATAATTGACATTATAGCTTTGTTTCAGCTAACGTTATAACTGGTTGAAAGCTCGTCAGATGCAATCTCACATGTCATATGATGCAGTGATATTCAAATGTGGCGACATTATTTGACAGGTGTAATTGCCATAGGTAATTACATCTGAGGAATTCCCAGGTTCTCTCAATTTTTAACTACTATCCGTGCAAAAAGTCAACTCCCCTCACTTTAGAGATCGATATCTTCGCAATCGTTCGATAAAAAAAATTGAGACAAAGTTTGTTGTAATCATTGAACATTTCTACGTAACATATGTATGTCAATTTGAAAATTTTCGGATCCACGGTTTTCTTTTTATCGCGAGTTAAATGAAAAAAGTACCCGATTTTTTATGGTACCGGGAACTTTGTCAACTTTGCGATTTTATTCTCGAAAACTATCACACGAAAAAACTTGAATTTTGAACAGGTGGTAGCCTGATGTGTTCCATATGTCAAATAATGTCGGTTGTCGGATTCTGTTATCAGTTTTTCAAAATTAGAGCTCCCTAATTATTTAAGACCGATTTAATGGAATTAAAAATTAAAGAGAAGCAGATATAAGCTCTGTGGGGTAACGGGGGTTCCGTCCAATCAGAACAGATGGTGCGTTCCAGACAGGACGTCGCGCCTTATTTCTTTATGGAGGTAAGATAAAGGCGCGACGTACTGTCTGGGACACACCATCTGTTCCGATTGGACTCGTGCGGAAAGTGAGGGACTTTTTGCACGGATAGTAGTGATGTATCTTATACTATAAAACACAAAATATCAAATTCACATTCTTAATTATACAGGTAAGTATAGAATAAATGCTTTTAGATATTGATTACTTCAATTATGGATCTCATAAAGGTGTGGGTGTTATAAAGTATGGGGCCACTACTCGAGGGTTAAACATGCTTTAAAATTAATGAAAGAAAAAACCTTTTCATAACTGTTTTTATTTGTTAAAGAATAATAACAAAATATTATATTAAAAATAAAAAATAAGATATATAATTATTTTCTTTGTTTCTAACATAACTTGTGTTCTTAATTACTGATTTTTACTAATAATTTGATGAGCAGAAACATTTCTAAATGATAAATTACACATAAACCGACTTAAAAATCTATATTTATACCCCCTAGAGATTTCAGTTTGCTTATTATGCTATCGCTAGCGATTAAAAAAATGATTAAAGGCTACATCCATGTGAAGCGCACATAATAAGAACCGAAATCCTGTCTTGTTCAAAAAGCGGTTTTTATTTGCTGCATTTAGACATCCTCCTCACGTCGAAATTAGACTATAAATCATTCTGCAACAGACAGATAGAAAATCGAAAATTAGGGATTTCGGTTCTTAATCCAAGTCATTTTTCACTACATTTTTTTCATACAAATTATTAACACAAAAAATAATTACAAATAAGCAATTATACACACACTTATTATTATTTTAACATTTTAATAATACTTAAAAAAATGTTTTTTTTCTCTTTTATAACAGGAAGTCAATAACAATCACGTTACATGCTCATGTGCCCGTTCTAAAGCTATTACGTACCCGTACAAATAATAGAAAAATGATAGCAAATAAAACGCTAGTTTTATCCAACCTTCGCGTTGACATCTTGTTAGAACATCTGCATTCATGATGTTCGTTGGATCGTAAAGACCCGGTCCAGACATTACAGGTCGTGTTCTGTATCTATTGATATGATACGCTACCAAAGGTATATTAAGAAAGAGTGAAAACCATTCTCCTGATGCCGCAAATAATATGTTGAAGAACATGTGAAGGATATATTCTGGAAGAACTAGCTAAAAAGAAAAAAATTATACATAACCTTAATTAAATATTTTGAAACATCTTAAGTTTTTATGATAAGATTACAAATAAAAATGCACTTCAAAAGATGTAAATAAGAAAAAAACTTACTGGGTTGAGACTATTGCACTGATCTATAGGGTTTTTGTAATCCGTTTTGAGTTCATCAAAAGCGATTACGTGAAATAGAGAGAAGAATATGAGGAAAGCGTCTACGATCAACGCTATAATGTAAGCGAACGCGGAGAAATTGAACGCCATTATAACCGTCGATATTAAACGAACGCGAACATAAAAACAGTTACTCGAATTATTAAAGTCGGTTTTTGAGGTTAACTCAATTACACTGACATTTTCGATAATTACAGAAATCTATTTTTAAGGCGTAAACTCCGCGAAAATAACTACCATTTGAGTGAATAGTGTAGTAATTTACACATAGATGGAGCCCGTATTAAAATAATTTTTGAGAAATGTCAAATAATAATTGTCAAAAAAAATTAAATTTTTAATTTTATTTTTTACATTTATTTTCTACAGTAGATAAATTGATATTGAGGATATGTTTGGAAAAAACCAATTTAAAAGGTTTCTGAGGTACATTAACCGAGTCAACGGCGCACACTTTATGGGTCTTTGTTTGAGAAGTCTTTAGTAATATAATACGAGTCGAAGTGGCAAATTGTCGCCGTAAATGTTGCGTATAGTTTTAATCATCAATAATTAATTTTTCCACTTAATTATTAAATTTTTTAAAAATCTCCTATACAATGAGTTACAAAATCGATTTCGATCGATTTATTATTCTTATTTTTTCTGTTAAAGCAAACGCAGCAGAAAAAAGCCGGTCGGTTGTAGTATAGTAGGTCGATTGTGTGCTGATTCAGGTTTTTAGTCACACTCTCTCTTCTCTTTTCTTGTCGGGCCCCACTAGGGTTCGGGTTGGCAAACGTGTCTCGCGACTCGTTATGGCTCACGATTCGGCCACCTACGGCACGCGATTTAAATTACATACACGTAAACACGGCTTGTGCTTTACGATTTAATTCCAAAACAAACCCGTCGCCGGCAGCTTGCGACACATACACAGCCTAATTTCAAAATAAACCAAAAAGAGAAATTACCTCGTTATTTCTTCTGCCACCAAAATAACAAAATCAAAAACTTATTTGTACCCCCTTTTACAGAGTGTTAATATGTTAGTAAAAGTTGTTATTGTCATGTATTTTAACTACTTATTAGAAAAACTTTATTGCTACAAGGACATCAAAGTCATTATGATTTACCAGTACACCCCATGATTGCGTAACTTCATGGAAGAATTTGTTTTGAATGTTTGGGTAAATAAGTTAGTATGTCTAGCTGTGCCTAATAATTCCAATACATCGCCAAATTGGTTCCACAATTTCTGTACTTGAAGGTCTACTTTTTTCCTTGTCATTACCCATGTTTATAAGAACTTCTCCAACATGCATTCTAAGTTGCAGAAGATCTAATTTTTTTATTTGCCTCAAACATCTTCCTTATACTATAATCATGAATTTATCTATCCTGTTAAATGCCTTTAAGATCTTAGATCTTGACCTCAATGTAGGTTTTTGCAAATGTCATTATTAAGAAAGTTTGAACCCATCACAATTGGTTTATGATCTATCCATTTTACTAGAACTACTTCATCTTTTGAAATTATTGAACTTATAAAACTCCTACTGATTCTGAGCATATTATGCTGAGTTTGGAAGCTGAAATTGATTGAATGAAAACTGATTTTGTCTCGATATTCAATATTTGAGAAAAGGATATTGTGCAGAAACTGTATATAACAGTTACATATAATGAGCCAATTTTCAAACTGAAATTGATTGAGTAGAAACTGATTTAATCACAATGTGCTAATATTTAGTGCAATGACCAAAATCCGATTGTTAAAGGAATGTGGCATGATGACCCAGCGATCTGAGCGTCGGTCTTACAATCGGAGCGTGCTGGGCGACCGAGATTTGCGAGACTCGGTGGTAGCCCAGGAATTTTTTTCTGGTCAGAAATTTGGAGGTCATATCACGCACCGTGCGTTGAATGGTCAGGTTACTTCTTCTTCTTCCCACTGTTCAGATTAATCGTCTTTTCCATTGTCAAAATCATCATCTAAGGTCAAGTTTCACATCTCCAGCACATCTATCTATTTTATCACTTATTGTATCACGATTTACAAAAAAAAAATTAAAATTAGAGTAACGCTAAAATATTTATTTAGTTACAATGACAAAACCAAATATAGGAAAAGTATATATAGAGTAACATAACAATAAGCAATACCTGTTTGTTGAACGGTTTATATTTATTTGCATGGATCACTCATTTTCATTAAAATAGAACATATTGTATTACTTACCTTGTAGCATGAGAAACTTATCCACCATAACACTTTATGAATTCACTGCATCAAACATTTTTCAACAAATGGCACAATGTTTACCTTAATTACTATAAATACATGTGCATGCAAATAATCAAAGCTGCAAACCCAATAATAATTGGGGTCTACTGAGTTTGTTACGACTTTGGCGTATGTTCTTATCTCGTTTACACAATTAAATGTTGTCTGATGATCTTTGGCAGTATACGAATTTTGCCCATATTTTCTTATATCTTGCAAAACTTTTGGCTTCCTGTATAGTTTTCCTCTTTTAGTGATTATCTTCCTCTGAGTGTCTTCCTCTCTTTCCACTCTCCTGCTTTCTTGCCAACCATTCTCGTTTCACCTGTCTAGTATGCTGCATTTTCTGTAGATATCCCCACCAACTGAGGTGCCTCTTTTCTATAAAATTGTCCAGAACCTTAAAGTTTAACTCTTTCCTTATGTCATCATTCCTAATCTTGTCTCTCTTAGTCACCCCCTTTACTCTTCTCAAGTATTTCATCTCTACATCCTGCAATCTACTTTTCAAACCAAAGTTAAAATAGGTGATATATGTTTTATCATGATCAAATCGAGTACACTTTTGCGTCTTTCTTTATTCTTGTATTTATCTCCTTTTTTTGGTTTCCGTGGTTGTCTATTTCAATCCTGAGGTACTTGAAATGCTTACTTCTTCAATATTTGTTCCAGGAATCAGTATTTTCAACCTTTCATTACTCATCTTCGTTCCAAAATCCTATGTAATCTCATTTCATTTATTTCAACTTTCATTTAGTTCTTTTTCGCCTCTAGCTATAACAACCATGTTTCGCGAATGCTCCTTCTAGAACTTCGACCGTTAGCATATTTCTGTAACCGACAAGCAATTTCTGTACTCCCATATTACACTTTTTTATTATCTCATAAAGTTACTCCATACAATTTTATTGTAAAAACGGTGACTGAAAGGACTAAATGAAATTAGCTAATAAGCTAATTATTAATAATTCTGTTAGAATTATTAGGAAATTTAATCTGTATATGAACATTGTAATCTGTCATTTCACATGTTTTGTAGTGCATCAAATAAGTCTACTTATATACCAGTACAAGTTTGCACATGAAAATGTTGTTTCCATTAGTCTCGAGAATCGATGTCTCTGCTATAATTTTTCTGGAAATTTAAAGGTAAACTTTTGGTCACCTATTACCTGGACCACATCGTTATTACCTCCTTCTAAAGTTTTCAGTTCAATACTGCTATTGTATTTGTGCTGACCACAGCTTGACCATAACGTTACTTCATGCTATACTTTTAATAAAAATGTATAGGGAGTATTTTGCAATTTTATTTATACGTATGATAGCAAGTTTGAAATAATTATTACGCTTCAACTGGTGGTTTTGGTGATTTTCGTTGAGGTTGTTACTGCACGTTTTTTAGACTTCCTTTCTAGCTTTTCGATCAATGTATATAGACTGCCTGGCGAACTCAGAACGTTTTGATTTTTCTTGGTATGGCAGTCCATAGACGACCAATTGAGATCAAAATAGAAAAACCTCGAGACTTCTGACTGCATCTCAACTTCTGGGATATCTGTAATAAACTCGGCGCCGTAATTGCTCATTGTCGTCTACGATATCCACTTCACTCATTGTCACCATTAAATTTCGTATCCCCAAGAATTATAGAATTATTTGTGGCATAAAGTATTTGATATTGATATTCTTTTTTAACTCATTCCATTATGATTTGTAGTATGCTTTTACTGTAACATAAACCGAGTTGTCCATGGACTGCAAGCCAAGAATTTATTCATTCTAGACGTATTTTCCATGAACATAAACAATATGTTTTGGAAAAGAACAGAAAAAACAGTGGCACAGAATCCCCCTCGGTAAAACTGGTGGCAAAGTGACCATGGTTTCTGGCCAACTCTAATACAAAACATTACAATGGTTTAAAATGTATCACTTTGTCCCGGTTCTAAGCTTTTCGTTCTCAGCTCAATACCACTGATGACTTGTTCGTTTGGTTCGAGATTAACGTCCTATAGGTGTTGTAAAAAAACGACATTGTACGTTTTTTTATGTTATTTTCTCTTCATTCCATGGACGTACAGATATAATATTTGGGATGGCTTCCAACCTTCAAAGTCATCTTTGCTTATGCCACATATAATTTAGAAGATCAAACTTTACTTTCTCTGACAATACAAATTGTCTAATGTTGACAACAAGCAATAGAATTGGTCGAACTACCCTTTTCATTGCTAATTGATGGATAAGCATATGCGCAATTAATAGATAACTACTCCCTGAATGTTAATCATGAGTTCCAATGTTCGTTAGACTTGTTCAGTAACACATTTGAGGTACGTCAAACCAAAAACATAATAGCTTTACAAGAAATCCATTTTGATTTATATTCAAGTTATTTTCCAAATTTTATTGGAGTTGAGGTTATGTTAACTGTCAAAGAAATTCAAATTTTTCGCAAATATTCCAAATATAGGTATTTTGAGACTTACATGAAAATTAATTGATAAATTTGTACTTTATACATATAAAGATTAATGTATTTCCGTTCAATTTGTTACTTTAAATTGTTATTAAACGTCTTTTTATCAATTTGCGGTTATATCCCATCTGTCATATAATGACAATATACTCAAATATTACCAACTTAAATTTGGTCGAAAATGAAATAATGTTTAAAAAGATTTGTTATTATTATAATAATGTTTAAGTCTATTATTCATTAATTAAATTAAATTATTTATAATTAAAAAATAATTATAAAATATACAGTGTGTTTAATTTTACTTAAAAAAATCTAACAATACAGTCTATTTAAATAATCTTGATCAACCTAACATGACATTGACAATACATTATTGGTAATAATTGTTCTTAACCTGGTTTAGAAAACTAAAAAAAACGGATTTATGTTTACTATTCATATGAGTCAACAAAATATAAATATTTCTATTTCACAATCGATCGGCAGAGAAGTCAAAGAGTTGGCAACACGGCACATCACGAATAAAACAAAATTTTTCTCAATTTTTTCCCCTCTTTTTAATGTGAATTGCGCACGTGCGAAGGCGTGTAATTCCCGGTAGTGGGGAAATATAGAGACTTATTGAAGGCGTGAATACATTGGAGCCACACCTCTGTACCGCCATTTCCCTTTTCTCATCATCCGTCCGATTGGGTTTTCGTTAAAATCTAAAAATCAATAGCAAATTGAAAGGATTAATTAATTACAATGGTTTAAATTACAAACTAATTATATGTGTAATGTTTTAATATTTTTTTGAAAATGTATATGTTGAACATCAAAGCTGAGTTATTGTGGTTTGTAGGAGTGTCTATCCCCATTGAGAAATCAACCAATCTATAATCGCGTGTAGGTTTTTGGATGTGGTGGGGAAGACACATCCTAATTTTACAAACCGGTTTTTGATCTGAAATGTAGGAGTCAGTAAAGCTTGGACGTTAGCGGTAGTGGGTAACATATCATCATTGACTCTATTATTACAAAACAGTAGTGTGTCAAGATATTAAAGCGTTATTTGTACTACTTTTTTTTAAATAAGTGATTTATATTTTTTCGATTCATCAGTGATTGAGAAACTTTGAATAAAAATGAATTTAAATTTTGCCGCGAAGTTAGCACCACTTCAAATATCCCATGTAAGTAGATCGATTTTAATAAAAAAAGTATGTTATTTAAACATTCCAGTTGTAATTATTGAAATAAGTAATTGATTATTGCATCTCACTTCAGTAAGCGGCATCCTTTACGAGATTTGTTATCGTTTTGTAAAGTAGTTGATTTGTTTGTTATACTTTCCGAAAAGTAAACATACAAACACTTCGTTATTAATCATTAATCATCGTAATTATTTCAATGTTTATGGCAGATGTTCCAAATATGGGGCGGATAATTAATTCATATGTTTTATTTGATTTGATTGTTTATTTAATTTTTCGATTTTTAAACATTTATTTTTGGAAAAAACATTTTGGATGTTATCTATTGGAATTCCAAAAAATTCTAAATATACAATTTTATGTGTTTGATAAAATTTATTACAAAATGATTTTGGCCACTATTATCACGATTGCAATTTCAAAGACAAGGTTTTTTGGTTTTTAATTATTTGTAATAAATTAGCAGTTAGTCCAAGAAGTTAGTCCAATTTAGACATCTGATAGTTCACAATTTGAACCATGTTAACTTTTATTATAGTAGATATACTATAATCTCCTGGACTATATAATATCCTGTTTTGAAGATTTTTTAGCAAAATTGTGTTCTTCCTGGCTTTTGTGCTTCAATTGCTAAAGCCGCTTTAACTTGTAGAAGTGATATTTGCTTATGACATGCAATATTTGTTTTGACACCATCATATAATCTGTATAAGATCATTTCTGCTCACTCAAGACAACACCCTATCAATTTTCTTCTTAGCACCAAGACCGTACATCATTTAAATACATGTCCACTTACTCCAGCATCACTGTAGAAGCTGTTAGCACGATCTTCATTTGGTCCTCAAATCATTTGTTACATTTGACTCCTTTTTCCATAGTTTAGACAAATGTTTCTTAGATTTAATCATCTTATTAAGAGAACATATAACCTCGGTAATGTGGATTTATTCAAGAAGTTAGCCCAAGCTAGACTTCTGCGCAAATTAATCCAATTTAGACTTCTGGGTTTATAATTTGAACCATGTCTAGCTTTAATTGTACCAAGGGCTCTTTTTGGGCTATTTACAGTCTTGTATTATTCTTTTAAGATATTTGTTACAGCAAAATTGTTTTTATCCTAAACAATTGTGTTTGAAAAGTCTTACTGCTTCAATTGCTAAAGCTGTTGTAACTTGAAGAAATGATATTTGTTTATGACATGCAATATTTGTTTTGGTAACATCATAAAATGTGTATAAGATCATTTTTGCTCACTCAAGACAACGCCCTATCACTTTTCTTGTTAGCACTAAAACCGTACATCATTTGAATACATGTCCACTAAATCTAGCATAGCTCTTAGCACGATCTTCATTTGGTCATCAAATCATTTGTCACATTTGACTCTTTTTACCATTGTTTAGACAAATATTTCTTATGTTTAATCATCTTATTAGGAGAACAAATAACCTCGGTAATGTGGATTGATTCAAGAAGTTAGCCCAATTTAGACTTCTGCGTAATTTATTAGAATTTAGACTTCTGGGTTCACAATTTGAACCATGTGTCTTTTTAATTGTGCCAAGGTCTCTTCTGGACTATATACCATCCTGTATTATTCTTTGAAGATATTAAATTTGTTCCAGCAAAATTGTTTTTATCCTACACTGTTGTATTTGGAAAGTCTTAGTACTTGCTTATGACATGCAATATTTGTTTTGGCAACATCATATTATCTGTACATCATACAATCTCTTTATGCCGTTGTTTAGACTAATGTTTCTTAAGTTTAATCGTCATATTAGGGGAAGAAATAACCTCGGTAATGTGGATTGATTGAAAATTCCAAACTTATTGCTTATCAAAACATTCAAAAAGAAGAAAAAGCCTTGTTCGACAAAACAGTAACTAAAAAATTTTGCCAATCATTCATCTCAAAGAAAATACATGAAACAACAAGATGCCATAGATGAGTCAAATGCCATATTCTCATTAATTCGTGAACAACACGTTGATTATCACATTTATCTTAACGTAGCACTATGATAATAACAATCTTTCTATCCTAAAGACAAATACAAAATGAAATTTTGGAACTTATTGATCGTGAGATTAAAACTAGAATTATGAACCTTACTTACAATAGTTTATAATTTTAGCTTTACATCCTCATTATTCAGCCCTTTTAGAACTTTTCTGTCATCATTATTTTCTGCTTTAACACACCAAATTCTCGAAAAGGAAGAAACCTAATTGAATTCATCTACCTAATCTGTGCAGTATTTATTTACATTTCCTTTTCTTCACAGTCTTTTTTAATACTGTTAATACTTACAAGAGTGACTTGCAGGTTCATGTTTCAACTTGCATGGATTTGCAGAATTCAGTGCATTATTGCGTTTCAATAAATCTGGGTATACTACTACCAAGCTGAGGTTACTTCTGGTCTTACTACTAGTAGACAGATTTAATTTCGTAACAATTTTTAGTAATGATATGCAAAATTTATTGAGGTTAGGTCAAATTGTTTATCTTAATCTTCTTTCTGCCAAAAATTTATTTGAATCTAGCAAGCAATAATGTGTTTCCAATGCAGATAAACACGATCAAACGATTAAATAAAGAAGAGTAATTTTTGACAAATCAATTCTAACCTAAAAAATTTAATCGATAACTTTAATACTAATTTTAAATTGTCATATTAGGATCAAATTTATTTAAGGAGACAAATCAAAAAATACTTACTGTACTAGATTCAAGATTTATTTATAAATTAATCATTTCTACAATTTATTTTATTGGATTAGTAACATTTTATTATTTACGATTGGTAGTCTTGACATTCACAATGATCTGTCATAATTGATTTGACAATGAATCTGTCAAATTTGTTAATTTATTAAAAGTGAGGTTATACTCTTTCTAAATAATAACATTTATATTAATTATACATGTTATTATCGAGGAGCTTCATATTAAACAAGTTGTCCTTCTAGCTGAGTAAGTATTACGCAAAACATAAAAATTCTAATTTGTCCTAATTCTTGTAAAAAGTTTAATTCGAATTTCTTGTTTAAAATCGTTATAAATACTATTCTTACATTAATTATATAACGTACGCTCAAATTCTATTACAATTTCAAAATTGAGATGTCGATATATTATTTTGAATATGTTGTAAAAGAAGAAATTGTGGCATGTGCGTCGTAATTACTCCTACTACTTTATACAATATGCGTATATCTATAGATTTACGCGGGTAAAGGCCTAAAGATACGTTATACTTATATCGAAATCGTCCCGGCTATTTATAGAAAGGTTGAAAGTCGTAGTCTCTTTATATTTTGGCGTATATTCTCAGGGCCTCGTCGTTATCGCAGATAACGGGCGCCACGAGATCGTCTTATTCTCTTTCGTATGTTACATTCGAAACCATTATTATATTTAAAGTAGAATATATCAAGTTGATTTGAATAAATTTTCCACACCTTAAATTTCGATTTGTATCACTTTGTATCAATCAAATCTAAGAAATGTGATGTATTGATTTCTTAAAAAAATTGTTGAGTTTATTTAAAAGTGGCCCATCGCTCATAATAATAGAGAAAACGTGTCAACATTTATTTCTATCCACTTCGACCTTAAATTACGAGCTCAAGTCAGTGTAGTTGTTTATTGTAAATGCTTAGTTTATTTGTAAAAACACGGTATTATTTCGAAACTTCAAACTACATATACTATTCCGGTTTTACGACGACGCGCGTCGTCGGAGTCCACTCTTAATAAAATGCATCAAATTATTATGGCGGTTTATACTACAGCCCGCGGAGGAGATTAATGCGCTTCCTACACTTGAACAGATATTACGGATAGTTGTTATTAGCGTTAGATGGGAGTTTATAAACTCACTTCAACCGGAATGACTCGCGTCTATTTGTCAAAACAAGTTATGAGCAGGTTTATACCGTTTTGTTTTTGATGATGATGCTGATGATGTGTTCGTTAAACACACGGTGTTTATTTTGAAAATTATATTTAATCGTAAAACAAACAAATTTATTTTGAAATGAGATAAAAAATTATTGTGATTTATTTTATCGGATTAATAATTTTCTTTTTTTATTTAAAGTTGGTATTAGTGATGTAAGCTATAAAAAATCTTGTCATGGTTTATAAAATAATTCATTAGGATAGGTTGTCTTTCATTCTGTTTTAAATCGTTTAAAAATTATTGAGTAAAGATGAAAATTTTTTTATATATTTATAACAATAGATATATCTACATAAGACCATACATCATTTGAATACATGTCTGCTTAATCCAACATCACTGTAGGACCTGTTAGCACAATCTTCATTTGGACTTCAAATTTTTTTTCACATTTGACCCCATAGATTTGACTCTTTTAGTCATTGTTTTCACAAATGTTTCCTAAGATTAATCATCTTATTAGGAGAATAAATAACCTCGGAAATGTGGATTGATTCAAGAAGTTAGTTCAACTTACACTTCTGCGTAAATTGGTCCAATTTAGACTTCTGGGTTTACACATTGAACTATGTGTATCTTTATTTGTGCCAAGGTCTCTTCTGGACTATATACCATCCTGAATTATTCTTTGAAGATATTTGTACCAGCAAAATTGTTTTTATCCTAAACAGTTGTGTTTGGAAAGTCTTAGTGCTTCAATTGCTAAAGCCGTTTTAACTTGTTAAAGTGATACTTATGATATGCAATATTTGTTTTGGAAATATTATATAATCTGTATAAGATCATTTTCACTTCTTAGCATTAAGATCGTACATCATTTGAATACATGTCCACTTAATCTAGTATCACTGTAGGAGCTGTTAGCACGATCTTCATTTGGTCTTCAAATCATTTGTTACATTTGACTCTTTTTGCCATTGTTTCCTAAGTTTAATCATCTTATTTCGGAAATATGGATTGATTCAGAATTGCAAACTTATTGCTATTCTAACAATCAAAAAGAAGA